ACTGCCTGGAGATATGTGGGACTTTGCATTGTCTCCGTAAGATTAACCATCCTGGATCTAAACGATAACAGCTCTAGGGTTCTCAGTACAAGATTTGCGCTTTATATTCATATAAATATGGTTCATGGAAGGTATAAAGACTCTGCTTTCTTGTTTTTATTTCAATTTCGCTATTTACCCAACTCATTGGGCAGTTACACTTCGTTAGACTGGCTATTTGAGTGTGAGAAAACTATTTACTGTAATACACCTGTTTAATCAATTGTGTAAGCTGGTATCTATTTTCCGTCATTTACATATCTACAAAAATATACAGATATCTGGGCATAATAAATGTAATATCTCGCTTAGAGTCTGGAGCCTGTTTAATCGCAAAAAAAAATTGCCCTCAAATTGGTATCACGTGTTCTACACGTAGTTGAATCCATATATTATTTATTGCAGTTTTTTTTTTTTTTTTGTTATTGGCACCACCCAACGGGGTACCGAAAGTAGGTGGGCTTTGTTTTGCTCAAAATCATCACGCATGACAACAACCGATTTGCGCACAAAGTTAGTCATGTCAGTAAGTGGCTTGTAAATGGTGTCATTAAGTGGGATTATTTGTTATTTATTTACAGTAAATAGTGCGATGTTGTTATTGTTTTTTTAACTTAGTGGTTTCGCTTAACGTCAAGTAGGCAGGAATTCCCGCTGGTAGAAATATTTCTATATCTTGTTTTGATTGATGAATTATTTGATTTTGTAAAACTTTGAGTGTGCGCCAGCAGTAGTCGAGTGGTTAGCAGCGCATGCTGTAATGCGACAGGCTAGAATTCGAGTCCTGGTCTGATCCAAATCCAAAATTATAGAAAATTATTACTTTTATTATAAGTTATAGTCGATCTCAAACGGCGCGAAAAAAGGTCCTTCACTGCTGCAGTGATTCCGGCCTTCTCCGTGGATGATATCACAAAAAAAAAATTCTCTACTGGATAATATTGTCTGTACAATGACATACGATAAAAAAATCAAAAATTGACAATATGGCGGCGTTTTAAAAAAATAGTCGAATTTTACTCAAAATTTTGGTCGTTTTTGGCCTGCCAGAACTCGATTTTTCGATCAGATCAAAAATCGATAGATCATTGTATGGAGAACTATATATACTGCAGCAAATTCGGAAAATGCTGATTCGAGAAAAACGCGTTTAAAGATAAAATGATCGTTTTCACTCGTACCTAATGAGACTCTCTAGCTGCCGAGCGGCTGCTCTTTAAATTGCTATAACTCAAAAACTATTTGGGATTGAAATTTTAATATGTTATTTTTAAAGGTGTAAACTACCGAAATATGAAAAAAGGTGTGCCCCATAAGCCAAAAATTTCGACTCCAATTTTATTTGTTTTTTTCAGCAATTTTTTTTTTTTGAAAAGGAACGAAGTTATTGCGCTAAAGGAAATTTTCAAATAATAATGCTTTATATTTCAGATTTGAAAAACACTTTTTAGTGTAAAATTTTTATGGAAATTTCCAATGCTGTTGTGAGTTTTCAGAAGCGGCTGCAGTCTGCCGCTGATGTGCGTCGTGCGATGTATCTGAAACAGTCCTATTAATTTTTTTTTTTTTAATTTTCATGTGTGTTTCTTCTATATGAGTTGAAAAATAACGAAGAAGTTGAAAATTAAAATTTTGTTCCAAATTTGGAATAAATTCAATTTTTGAAAAAAAAAAACTCACTTCACGCTGCAAAAAATAGTTGATAATGCTTCAGTTCAACTTTTTTTTTATGCAAATAGAAGATAGCTTTGGTCGTTGCTCAGATGGGCCGTAAATATTTTTACCAAACTTTAATTGGTTCGTGTTCGTTGAGCCAAAAACTCGGTAAAAATTAACGAGAGAGCGCAATTTTGACGTTTAGTTGGAGAGAAAGCCGGAAATTCGTGCTGTAAAAATTCAACCCAGTAAAAACTAGCAAGTATGAACTGAGGTTTTGTCAGCAAAACAAAATTGGTGGTCAAACCCCAGCAAACCGTTGAGGCTCCTGCCTTCACCTTCTCAAATGATCGAACCATTTCGTGCGCCTTATAAAGACAACGAGTTTTCCAATGTTCACTTTGGCTAAATCGGCGAGACAGTCCCAAGAAACTTGTGTCGCGCTGATGTCAAAGCTGGACGGTGGCTGAGGTAGTGCTCGTTGGTCTCCTCCTCTCCTTCGTTTCTACAGCCGCGGCAGAAATCATTAGAGTAAAAGTCCATCCTAGTCCCGTGAAGCTCCATTAAACAGTGTCCAGTTATTATACCAGTTGTAATGTTAATGGAGAACCGGTTAAGAAGGATAAGATGTTTAGATTTCTTCTCGCCATAGCTCTTTGGTCAGGTTACACGTGATCTCTTTCAACCATCGTTAGTCAGCTTCCCGGGTGAAGGCCAGTTTAAGCATGTACTTAGCCGTGGAAAGAGGTAAACCAGCATCATGTGCGTGTTTTAACGTAGATAGAAGGTTTGGGATTCTTGTATAGTATAGTAGAGGTCCAGAGGAGGGATGTTGAGAAGAGTTAGCGGTGCTTTCGAGGGAGTTTAATGGCAATGCTCCCGTTATCAGGAGGGCCGCCAATCGCTGACCTCTCTGTAATTTGCTCCTGATGGTGATTTTATCGAATGTCGGCCACCAGACGGTAATAGGATTGACCTAACTACCGATGCGTATATCCAATGCAAAATACTCGGTCTTAAACCCTTTTTTTAGCTTTCCTTGATCTTATTGATCTTGGATACTTTTTAGAATAGATTTTAAAGGTTAAAAAGAGACTGCTGCTTTCAAAAACCAAATAATACATAAAATTGTTAAAACCTACTACAAAACTGCTTATTAAATTGTGGTCACGTTTCGAATATAAGTTTATTCACGCTTATTTCGAACCTGCAATCGAGGGCGAAGAAAGTAATATTTCCATTTCGATCAATTTCAAGTCAATCGCTCGGTAACTTTTAGAGAACATCGGAACTTTACATATGGTCATTCGATTTTCATACCTTGCAATGCTACTGGCTGCTTATAGAAAATTAATTTAAACAAAAAATGGAGTTAAAATTTTTGAATCGTGGTCGCCCCTTAGCAGGTAATATCAAGCACTCCGAGTATATTTCATAAAAAATCCTTCAGCCGTTCGGAGGCGGCTTAGTATAAATTGTAGGTCCCTCTGTTTGTTGGAAAAACTTCAAGACGCAAATCAATAAATTGTAGGCGGAACTCAGTCGCTTCAGGGATTACAAAGCTCCAATTACATATATATGTATATATACTAATTCATGCGGTATTTTTTTTTCGAAAACTAAGACTTTATTGTGAAAAAATTGTTATTCATTTAATGTTCAAAGTATCGCCCATCGGAAGCTACGATGTTTGCCCATCTTTTTGGAAGTTTGTAGAATCTCATCTCAAAAGAACTTCTCCGGCTCGGAGGTCAAGAAAGAATCGAGCCAATTTCGGATACCCTGTTCTGAAGTGAAGCGTACTACAGTGAGGGTCTGAATTGATCTGAAGATGTGGTAATCGGAAGGTGCTATGTCTGGGCTATAAGGCGGATGTGATAGAACTTCCCATCCGCAGTTTTCCAAATAGTTTTTAACTGGTCTTGCAACATGTGTCCGAGCGTTGTCATGATGAAAAATTATTGATTCGTGTCTAATCGCATATTCTAGTCGTTTTTCCGCGATGGCCTTTTTCAAACGAATCACTTCTTTTTCGGTAGAGGTCCCCATTGATCGTCTGACCCGATTTCAATAGCTCATAATAGAGCACACCCTTGTGGTACCACCAAATATATAGCATAACCTTTGGTACCATGGATATTCGGCTTTGCCGTGGATGTCGATGGTTGGCTGGGCTTCACATACGATCTCTTGCGCTTTGAGTTATCATAATGAATCCATTTTTCATTGCCAGTGACAATCCGATGCAAGAATGATTTCTTTTGGTGGCGTTGAAGCAACATTTCCGACATGCAGAATCGACGTTCGACGTCTCTTGGCTTTAACACATAAGGCACCAAATTTCCAAGCTTCAAGATGAATCCTAATGATTTTAATCGTCTGGAGACGGTTGCTTGATCAACTCCTAATATTTTTGCAAGCTCTTCTTGCGTCTGGCATGCATCTGCGTCGAGCAATGTCTCCAATTCTTCGTCTTGAAATTTTTTTAATACTAGTAGAGCCCTCTTTTAGAAAACCGCATATAAATATATATATATATACGTATATATACGCGCATATATATTTTTTTCATTCCATTTAAATAAAATAGCTTTAAGTCCGGGAATTTTCCTTCAAATTTCTTTGTAACCCGTTCAGCTGTTTAAGCATCAATTGATTTATGTAAATATGTTCCAATACTATTTTTATTTTTTTATAAAAAAAAAAATTAATAAATTTACGACGTATTTCAAGTGAAGATTATATCAATTGAAGCGATCACCCACCAAATGCAATTGGCATTATCAGTTGGGTGAAATTGTTGTTGGTAAAAGCCAGTTTTGATTTATGCGAATGCGGTTAACACACACACTCACACACACACATGCCGGGGGGTAAATAAACCCACAATACAACAAGTATGAGGATGACATATAAATATAATGTTAGTAAATATGTATAACTGTGTGTCAATTAATATACATATGTATGAATGTCAATCAAGCGCACTGCTGCTGGTTAAACAGATACATATACTCGTACAAATGTACGTTTGTATTAATGTATGAATGTACATATGTATTTTTCACAAAATAATTGGTGATTTTGGGTTACCAGCATGTTTTGGGTGGATATGACAACGCGCATCAAATCATTATTGCCTTGGCTATTGATCAAACAAGGCGTTTGTTGACTGACAATGATATATTTTTAATGAAAAATCGAGGAAAGTTGACGCGTAAGCACTCACATACATATTTACAAGTGTTATATATTTGCAAGTATTAAATATTTGTCCAACAATTAATCATAATTTATCAAAAAAGCTCGGCAAAGTCTGCGTATATTTGTTTAATTATATACATACATACATATGTGTGTAAATTGGTTTTTGATTGATGATGGAGGCGCGTCGGACATTGAATGCAATAGCTAAAAACAAGTGGTCAAGACATTTTGGGATTTTCGCACTGAAAAAGAATCTCATTTGAGTGTTCCTTGGTCCGTTTTATGTACGTACACGGTATGTCCCAAAAATAACCAAACTTTTTGAATATAAAATAAAATACACATTAAATTATCTTTGAAAGTTATTATTTATTCAAAATAGGTTCCATTTGACTCAACACAACGTTTGGAACGACCAACCAGAGCATGAATAGATTTTTTTTTATTTCTTTTATAGAAATGTTCTTCAGTACCTCGGTTACGACTGATTGAATGGCTGGGATATCATCTTAAAATGCTCCCTTCATCTTGGTTTTCAGTTTTGGAAATAAAAAATAGTCACATGGTGATAGATCAGGCGAATACGGAGAATGGTCAATGAGAGAAATCCGTTTTTCATTAAAAATTCGAGCGATTTTTTGGTCGTCATTTAATTCATGTGGAACATTTTCCCAAATCTTCAGTTAAAATTCTCCAAATAGTGTTTTTACTCGTATTCAATTCCTCAGCCAACATTCTCGTAGTAAAATTTGCATCGATACCAATGATTTCACCGACTTTTTCCAGCAGTTCAGCACGATTACTAGTTTCTGGACGTCCTGCTCTAGGGTCGTCATTTAAATCCTCACGACCATTTTTAAATCGTATAAACCACGTATAAACTTGCGTACGCCTCCTACAATCATCACAATAAACTTTTTTCATTAATTTTTTTTTCAAGTTTGACAAAAAATTTTATATTTGCTCTTTGTTCTATCTTATTTTTGAACCATTAGCACACTTTTGGTTTTATTCCAATGGCTGTCACTTTTACATCTGTCATCCGACTTACATGATGTTAGATGCGTTTGAAAGAGAATGAATGTATCTTTTTATAGTTGCGAATTTTCAATAGATGGCGCTTATGTTGTATGATTTAAATATAAAGTTCAGTTTTGGGACACACCGTGTATGCTATTTAACCAGAATTTTCTTTTTCTTTTTAGCAGCGGAACATTGAGCAGACAAGATGAAATTCGCCGAGCATCTATCGGCGCATATAACGCCGGAATGGCGTAAACAATATATTAATTATGAGGTAAATAATAAAGGGTGTTTTGTTTTAGTTAGACATGTGGCTTTCAAGAGAGAGAGGGAGAGAGAGGAAATAAAACGCTTATAATTTAATTTTATGGCCAAAAATTTAGTCTTATTAGAAAGACTAGAGTTCGCTTGGATTTTTCAGATGGTTCTGGTAAGATTTATTAAGTTTTTTTATTACAAAATATTGTGCTCTATATAATAAGCAAAGCCGTACCATCGAATCGTTTCCAGCTCCACATAATTCACATTTCAGATCTCAACGTCCAGTGGTTTAAGTATTTCTTTGAGCCGTCAGTCATTCAGGACAAATCTTTTTCTGTATCTGTATAACGGGTGATCTAAGTAGAGAGCCAGAATCCATTATCGGGAGGTATGCGACCAAATAGACCACGTCCAGCATGCTGTGTAGAAAATATAGCGGTCATAGCTAATAGTGTACACGTAGAGAGTTTATTCGGTGCCGTTCGTAGCAACTCGGATTGATGTGTGGAAGGACTTGGCGCATTTTACGTCGAGATCTATAATTGAAAGCGTACAAAATACAGTTTGTGCAAGAGCTGAAGTCACTTGACCTTCCAAATCAACATCGCTTCGCTCTATAGGCTCTTGAAAAGTTCCAAGGAGATCCGACGTTTTCGAGCCGTGTTTTGTTCGGTGTTGAATGCCATCTCTGGCTCAACGGATATATAAGCAAGCGAATTTACCGCATTTGGGGCGAAGAGCAAAGATTCATGAGCTGTAGATTTATGCAGCAAAAACAACGGTTTAGTGTGGTTTGTGGGCTGGTGGAATCATCGGTTCACGTTTCTTCAAAAATTATGCCGGTGGGAACGTTACCGTCATCATGACACGATTAATCGACTATTTGATACTTGAAATTGAAACTTGTGATCAGGGGGATATTCGCTGTCAACAAGAAGGCGTCATTTTCCACACAACGTCTCAATCAATAGATTTATTAAGAGAAAACACCGATCAGCAGATGATTTCACGTTTTGGGCCGGTCGATTAGCCATCAAGATCATGTGATATTACACAGTTGGACTTGCTTCTGCGAGAATATGTAAAGTCTAAAGTCTATGCGGACAATCCCGCTTCGCTTCAGGCCTTTGGAGCAAAACATCACGCGCAGCATTCGTCAGTCGAAAAGCTTAATGAGTCATCGAAAACTGGACTCAACGAATGAACCATTTGAGGCTTGGCCGCGGCTAACCTCATTAGGGTCTTCTCAGACATTTTGCTCCAGAGCAGCAATAACGTCTCTGCGCATTATTCACGAGAGTAAACTTAGTGTGAAACCGAGTCGTTATTGCTCGAATTACCGACTCTATATCGTTCGATTATTAAACGCAATGAACCGCACCACTATTTTAGGAACAAATTTCCACGATTTGCACACGTTGCACCGCAGTAAATTTGTTTAATATGAAATGGAAAATGAGTATAAGTTATAAGAAAAGTATTGCCTCAGGATTGAAAAGCACATGTCTAAAAATACACCCTTCACTTTAATAATTTTATTTGTTTTTAATTTTAAAAACTAATTTGTACAATTTTTTGAATTTCCAGGAAATGAAAGCCATGCTCTACATGGCCGTTGAAGAGGCGCCCTCTGTCGATAGCGTTGAGGATGAAGTTTTGAAACGCCATTTTGCCAATTTCGATGAGAATTTCTTTCACTATTGTGATAAAGAATTGAAGAAGATCAACACATTTTATTCGGAAAAGTTAGCCGAAGCTACACGTAAATTTGCCACACTCAATGCCGAGTTGAAAACCTGCATCGAGGAGTCGGAACGTTCGGCGAAAAAATCGAAATCATTGAAAAAAGCCGGCCTACCAAATCGTAAAGCGGCCGAATTGAAGCTGGCATTCAGTGAATTCTATTTGAGTTTGATTTTATTACAAAACTATCAGAATTTAAATCATACAGGTTTTCGTAAAATTCTTAAGAAGCATGATAAGGTATTTATATTTAATTATTTATTTATTAATTTTTTTATTATTATTATTTTTCATTCTACTTACAGCTACTGCGCGTCGACACCGGCGCTAAGTGGCGTCAGGAGTATGTTGAATCATCACATTTTTTCACCAATAAAGATATTGATAATATAATTAATGAAACTGAGTCCACCGTAACGAATGAGTTGGAGAGTGGCGATCGTACGCGCGCTATGAAACGTTTGCGTGTACCGCCTCTGGGTGAACAACAGAGTCCGTGGACAACATTTAAAGTTGGTCTCTTTTCGGGCAGTTTTATTGTACTCGCTGTGGTGGTGGTGTTGTCGGGTGAGATGAGATTTCATTTATTAAAACTTGTTTACAACTAATGTTTGAAGGATGTGAGGATTACTGTTTTTATTGTATGACGTTGTTATTGTTGTTGTAACGGCTCGTTAACTCCGCTTAGGGGCAGATTAATCCATCTAAGTCACAGAGGTCAGAGCTCAAGAGGTCATCTAACGGAACGTCCAGAAAACGTGCTGTTTTGACGGGTTCAGACCAAAGGTAGAGGGAGATTGATGTGTCGGTTTTAGGGCACATGTAAAGAGGGGGTTAGTGTGGTGCGGAAACTCTCTCCATGCAGGACATACGTTGGATATGTTGGGGTCGAGTCTGGATAAGAAGGAGTTTAACCTGCTACAATATGTTCTGGTTATTTTAGTAGCTGCAATGGTGTGGCTCATTTTGTTTTGGAAATTTTTTTCTCTTCAAACTTTTATAAATTTTCAAATCTTCAGAATCGTTTTTTGAAATTTCAATGTCTTTAAAAAATATAAACTGTTCTAAATAGGTTTTGTGGGTCTCAATGTACTCTAGAGCCCAAGATGGACTTTTTAAGATCGAGTTTTCACGTCTGCGTTTAGCTTGTTCTTGCTTTAGCCCCACTTAAAAACAAAGAAAAAGTTAGTCGATATCACCGAGGTCAGCCATCTAAGGGGGGGCCCCCCTGAACTGATTCGACGGCCTCGGAGCAGAGTTTAAGGTAGAATGAATGCAAGACATTCGTTGGGTATGTCGAGTATTTATTTGGTTGTTGTTGCTTTAGCGACTAATAAACTCCTCGTAGGGACTGCAAAAGTCGGGCTGTCTCGACAAGTAAAGGCCAGACAGAAGGGGGAGGGTAGGGCTGAATGAGTTCGTTTAGGGGATCAAGTTAATTACTCCCTTCCTGAAGTGCCTAGGTGTTATGCTTAGAGCATGTGTAAATGTTTCATTGTTGTTCAGGCTGTCCAATGTGACCCCCAGTATCTTGGGATAATTAACTTTCGATTAGAGATTGTCAATATCCTGGACAATATCGAGTTGTCGCCGCGATAGCTTCGAAATGTAAAAATTAAATAAAAGCTGGGAGAGGACGCCACACTGGGGTTCCTTGCTTAATGTTGCAGAGCTTAAAAGTTTAACCTAGAAAGTCTACCAATGACTGTCGAGCACCCAGATAGACCATGGTCCACCTCTTCAATCCCGGCGGTAATGTCTGGTGTCAAGAGCTTTTGACGGATCCAGTGCTACCAGTACAATGCATTAGCAGAGCCGTGAACTATCTGGGTGTTTATATGTGAGAGACGAGAGCAGTAAGACTTCAATTGTTATCACTACTGGGGAAGGAACGGATATCGCATATAGGGTATACTTAGCGTCAAAGTCTATCCAAACATTTTGGTGAGGTGTTCTGCTCTTTGTGGACCCAGATGTTTTAGCAGCAGTATGGCTATTCCGTCATAGCCGATGGTTTTGGAGGCTCTTGCCTTTCCGATAATCCACTGAACCTCTTCCCCGGACAAAACAAGCACAGCGCTGGTGTTAGGCATTTTACGAAAACGGCGGCTCACTGTTGCTTCAACGTGTGAACCGAAGGGTGCAATGTGGACGGCTGACTAAAGTATCTCGAGCATTCCTTCGTTGTGTAAATTAAAGTTAGAGAGTCTAAGAATCGTAACCAGATAATTGTATTATTAAATGTTGATTAGTAAACTTGCGGAAATTCATAAAATTTTTACTCTTGTCAAATGTCACTTTTCTAAAAATTTCTTCTCACCCACAGCCATTTTCCACGACATTACCGGCGAAAATCTCAAAATCACCTTCCGTCTTTACCGCGGTCCTCTGCTTATCATAGAATTTATATTCCTCATTGGCGTTAACATCTACGGTTGGCGTTCGTCTGGTGTGAATCATGTACTCATCTTCGAATTAGATCCACGTAATCATCTCTCCGAACAACATCTCATGGAGCTTTCAGCTATATTTGGCGTTATTTGGACACTGAGTATGTTAAGCTTTTTATATAGTGCCAGCTTAAGTATACCGGCGTTTATTAATCCGCTTACACTAACAATTGTTATGGTGGCCTTCTTGCTGAATCCGTTACATGTATTCCATCACGATGCACGTTTTTGGTTGCTACGCATAACTGTGAGTTATTTTTTATGAAATATGCATTAAATGTTGTATTTTTTTTTTTGTTTAATAATAAAATTAAAATTCGTACTCACAGGGTCGCATGGTGGCTGCGCCATTCTTTCATGTTGGTTTCGCCGATTTCTGGCTCGGCGATCAGTTGAATTCACTCACAACAGCTCTGTTGGATTTTGAATATTTGGTGTGTTTCTATTTCACCAATGGCAATTGGTTTGAGGCGCAAGATGCCACAACGTGTATGGAGAAAGATTTTCTCATACGTCCGATATTTAATTGTTTGCCGGCATGGTTTCGTTTTGCACAGTGTTTGAGGCGTTATCGTGATACGCGCGAAGCATTTCCACATTTGGTGAATGCCGGCAAATATTCGAGTACATTTGCTGTGGTCATATTTGCAACGCTGAGGAGTTTCAATAATCGTTAGTATTTGTTTTTTTTTTTTTTAATTAATCATATTTTAAAATATTTTCAGATATTAGACTAGTGCTTTAATCTTTCCCTGCATGCAACTTCTGCACATTTAGCATTTTTGTCTTTCATTTACATGAAATGGTACTTTAACTTTGGTCCGAAGTTCATAAGAACGGCACGGAGAAGAAATATAGCATCCATCAAAATTTGTATCGATCGGGTCAGAATGGCGAGTCGGGTTGATTAAGCCAAGACCGTCTGTTTTTTGAGATATATTAATCAAACTTGGTCACTGATCTATTTTCATATTTCATCGATTTAGGGGGAAAAAATCCATTAGAAAAGCATATAAAAACCTGAAAGTTAGCCTTTACGTTAAATTTTATAACTTCATAAAAAGTGTAAAGACTTGGCCGAAGAGAGCACTTCTTTCTTGTTCTTGTTTTTGGAGTGTATAATATCTAAAAATGATATAATTAACAAAAAAGTAAATATTTAGCAATTATATTTTGCTTCTTACTTAAAAAAAAAATACGGCGTTGATATAAAACGTGGCGCACAAAAAGGTTAAAAAATTTTGAAAGATTTTTTTTTATATGTTTTATTTTTATGAGTGCATGAGTACGTGCCCGAATCCGCTGGATGCCGTTCGAATCGTTTGAGAGTGGCGCTCGTGAAAGAAATATATATATATTATATATCGTTGGAAAGGTGATAGTCCGAACTGTAAATCAAGCATAAAATAACTTAATTTTGATTTGAGTTGCTTAGTGAAAAGACGCATGGAATATGGACAACGAAAACGATCATATGCGTCATATTATGTTATACGAATTCCGCAAAGGAAAACAGTAGGCGCTGCAACTAAAGATACGAAGTTTATTTGGTCCGTGCTCTAGCACTCCGCACAGTAAAGAAATGGTTCGCGAAATTTCGTTCTGGAGATTTTAACCTCGAAGATCAACCTCGCAGTGGACGGCCTTCTGAGCTTGATGACGATGTTCTAAGGACTTTAGTTGCGAATAACTCACGTATTTCGACGGAAGAGGTTGCCAGTGAATTGAACGCCAACAAATCAACTGCGTTTCATCGTTTAAAAAAGGTTGGGTACACTTTGAGGCTCGATACATGGGTGCCACATCAGTTGAGTGACAAAAACAAAGTGGACCGTATGTCAACAGCAATTTCTTTGGTTCGACGGATCAAAAACGAACCTTTTTTGGATCAGCTCGTGACTGGTGATGAAAAATGGATCCTGTACAACAAAGTTCAACGCAAAAGAACATGGAAACAAGCACACGAAGGGGCGGAACCGATGTCGAAAGGTGGATTTCATCCGATGAAGGTACTGCTGTGCATTTGGTGAGATATCCGAGGCGTGATCTATTTTGAGCTCTTGCCAACTGGAGAAACGATCACTGCCAACAAGTATTGTCAGCAATTGATCGAATTGAAGAAAGCAATTGATGAAAAACGTCCGATTTTGGCCAATCGCAAAGGAGTTCTTTTCCATCATGACAACGCCAGGCCACATGTTGCAAAACCGACCCTGGCCAAACTGAAGGAGATGACTTGGAAAATCATGCCGCATCCCCCATATTCACCCGACATTGAACCTTCTGATTATCATTTGTTTCGATCGCGGCAGAACAATTTGAATGGAAAAAAAATTTAAAATGTGGATGACGTCAAAAACCACCTTGACACCTTTTTCAACGAGATTGTTATGAATCAGGCATCCGTAAATTGAATTGAACATTGGGAGTGGATTGTTGAACATGATGGCGAATACATAATTGATTAATGAAAGCGCTTTCTTCAAAAAATTTCAATTTTAGTTTGCACTTGAAATCGGGCACGAACTTATGCACTCATCCAATATATATTTTTTTTTGTATTTTTTTTGGTTTTGTTGTATTTATTTTTGTATCTTTTAATTTTTTTTTTGGTTTTTGTAATTTTTTTTTGTTTATTTTATATTTTTTTTTTTGGCTTTTTTGAAGTTTTTTGTTTTTTTGGTAAAGAATAACGAAAACAAATCTATGAAATAGTTAATATCGAATTATTATTATCCATATTTTTTATCTCTACAAACTTGTAGATTAAGCATCTTCATTAAGCTTTCTATAAAAAAAAATATTGTTATTTTCTCAGGCTATTATTCGAGCACATTTGATAATCCCTACACCTGGTTGTGGATCATCGCTTCCATTATCTCTTCATGTTACGCTTACACTTGGGATATAAAAATGGATTGGGGCTTGTTCGATAAGAATGCTGGCGAGAATACATTTTTGCGTGAGGAAATCGTTTACTCAACGGTAAGTGTAAAGTTTAATTAAAGTAATATTTATACACCTTTGGCTTTCACAGGGCTTCTATTATTTCGCCATCATCGAAGATCTGGTGTTGCGCTTCCTTTGGGCCTTATCATTTTATCTCACCGAAATGAAAATTGTTAGTGGTGATATTATGTCATCCATAACGGGTATTTTGGAAGTATTTAGGTATGTGTGAACACAAAATAAAAATAATTATTTCTCTTTAACAAAATTAATTTCGCTTTCTAAACTCCAACAGACGTTTCGTTTGGAACTTCTTCCGCTTGGAGAACGAACATCTCAATAATTGTGGTAAGTTCCGTGCCGTACGTGATATCTCAATTGCACCCATCGATTCATCGGATCAAACACAAATACTACGTATGATGGACGAACCGGAGGGAGTTATAAATCGTTATACGAAAACTAATCGTCCAAAGCCGAAAAAGAATAAAGATCCTGAGAAACGTAGCCTTTTGCAGCAACGTGGTTCACTGCATGATCTTAGTATTGATATTGATGGCACGAAAAAGTTGTGAATTGTTCCACGCACATGTACATACATACATACATATCGGTGTGTGAGGTATTTTATGTTGAAAAAAAGGATAAGTCGCAATTAAGTAAGTGCTGCTGAAGTAGCTTATAGCGCGAAAAGAAATGTATGCTTCCATAGTGAAAAGTGTAGGGTAAAAAATGTTAAGTGAATACGTAAAACTTAGCCAATTAAGTCATAGTAATTAGTATATAAATATATAATATGTTTGCCAGCCATTTTATATACACGCTTGAATACATATAGTTCAATTTTTTCTTTGGCCATTAATTTAAGTACTTAAAGTAAAAGCAGTTTACACTAATTTGTGCTCTTTGTTTGTTTTTGTGTACCACCGCGATTGCCAAGAACATTAATTACTAAAAATTATGTTGAATGTTGCATTAATTTTGTAAACATTCTATAACTATTATTTTACAATAGAATACAACGTTATTCGGCAGTATTACTTATGTATGTAATTACAAATAATTTTGCGTACTTATATAATTTTTTATTGAAACCCTTTATTTTTTCGTTGTTATTATTTGTACTAACCAATTTGTGTAACAAAAAACAAAACAAAAAAACAAAAAAATAATGAATCAAAAGAATGTGGTATGTAATTAAAGAAAAGACAAAAAAACATTAAAAACCAAGTAGACTTAGTATACAAATAAATATACAAACATATAACGTATTTTTACATATGTATAAAAATAGTTATTAAGCAATTCTAAGTGACATTACCTTTTGTTTAATCCAAAACATTCCCCTAAAATTGGACTTTTTCTGATGATGAATGATGAAACATTTGCCGATAAGTTTTTCCTATCAAAAATAACTAGAAAAAATTGAATTTCGAAATTTACGAGAAATTGAAATTCGAAATTTACGAAAAATTGAAATTCGAAATTTACGAAAAATTGAAATTCGAAATTTACGAAAAATTGAAATTCGATATTTACGAAAAATTGAATTTCGAAATTTACGAATAATTGAATTTCGATATTGACGAAAAATTGAAATTCCAAATATATCTAAAATTAACATGAAATTCATATATAAATTTAAATAAGCATAAAGTAGTTTGCCTTAGGCGCATTTGTTGAGGAATTTTTTTTAGTTATTTCAAATTGTACGCACTCATTTTATTGATGAGTGTTTTATATACATTAATAAATACATACATACATATAATAATTAAATATGTTTGTAAAAACCGAAATGCTATTGATTTATACTTGGATTATAGGCGTAGAAAATAGTCCAACGAATTATTGTAATACTAATAATACTAACTATACAATAAATATTCAATTTATATGTAGTAAAATAAAAAAAAAATCATAAAATTATATGCTTACCTTAAGATAAAAATAAAGCAAATAATATATATTTAAAGCAAAATTGAAAATATCATTTTAAGTTTTATTTAACTGAAAAAGGCTTATGTTGTTGCTGTTGTTGTAACCGCAAAAATATTCCCCAAAGTACTATTTTGGGAATGTTGCGGGAGTGACAGTCCTTGGCCGTATAAAAATCCAGGTCGTTCCAGTATAAATACCCGACTGTCGCGGGAACTATAGGATTTTAGTCGCCTCTTACGACAGGCATGCCTTACCGCGGGTAAATTCTTGCGCCCCTAAACCAGCAGGGGTTATCATTTGTTGCCATGCTGTTTAGTCCAAAACTTTTATTTTTATCTAATATCGCTTTTCGTTCGTTCAAAGTTCCTTTATAAATATAAAAGCGAGGAGTTGAATGCAGCTGAAGAGATTAGCATATTAATTTCGTCAATAAAAAAAAAATTCAATAATTTTATATTAATTATTTATTTTCTCGCACGACAGTGCGTCCGCAAACACAAATTCTATTAAAATTTCAATTAATTTATTAAAAAAAATAATAATATTTGCTTATCAAAATTATTTCCTCCATAAAAGCTTCTTTTTCTTTTTGTGCGCGAATAAAATACTTTGAAGTTGTAAGCGAACGCGAGTATGTAAACGGCAAATGCCAGCTTTTTTGTTTTCGAAACTATTATTAGATTTCATTTACTAGATGTCTATATGTACATATAGAATATATATTTAGAGACACATGAAATAAATGCGAGAGATTTGTGGCTTTGCAGTTTCCGACGCGCATTGAGTTAGTTTAGAGCGGCAAATGATTTTTTAGCGTAAACAAATTTGAGCTGTGTGTGCATATGTGTGTGTGCGTTTTTAATCAAATATTAATAAAACTTTGAGTAGTTTTTTTTTATAAAGAAGATGAGAGCGATAGTGAGGAGGGTTGTACAATAAAAACAATTTTAAGGTAAATTTTGAAGTATTATTGACGAGCACATGTTTCGGGTACATAGCGGAAGAAACGAGAAGTGGTTGTCAAATTACCGTCGAGGCGTTAACGTGATAATTTGTGGTTAAACAAAAAGGATTAAGGTGTACAACAACGGCGGAAGCAAAGTTGTACACCTTATTGTCCCTGGCTAACTCCTAAACGGGGTTAGGTCGCCGAAAGTATGTTACCTCAGCTCCAGTGCCTAGAATCGGCTGCCGTCCGAGTTGACCCTTCTTTGCTGTTGTTGATTTTATTGCAATAGCCGCAAAAATATTTCCCAAATTATTTTTTGGGACATGTCGCTGGAGTGAGAGTTCTTGGCTCGATAAAAATCCGGGTCGTTCCGGTATAAAGGAACGACTTTCGCCTGAACTTTTGGATTCGAATCCCCTCTTACGATAGGCATGGCTTACCGAAGGGCAAATTTTTGAACTCCTGCCACGCAGGGGTCGCCATGCAGCACCTAAAACCATTTCTTGCTCTTCACTTATGGTGGAATACAGCAGAGCTGCGGGAGAAATCAACGTTTTTGTTCAATTTTTATATTTCGATGCTTCCTTCACCGGCAGAGGGCATTTCTCTGATCTCACATACCAATGACTGCTCTGGCCAGCATATTGAGAACCTATGATCAAAGGTAAACTGTTCTCGTTTTAGTGATATACTTTTCAGCTGGACGAATGAGTACCTGTGACTCTTAAATGCCTAGTCTATAACGTCCAAATCGCGTTTGGCAATAACCTTAAGTTACTGGGAGTCATATTCGACAGCTTGTACTGCTTCATTCCACATATGTCCGCGATTGACCGTAAAGTACAGAACCGCAAAAAAAAATCTCAATTCACTAACCGGCTGCATCTAGGGGAAAGATGGAAACTTATTATACAATCGAATACTACACCGATTGGTACTAGAGAAACTCGATTGAAGAACCTACACACATATCATAATGCCGTTTTGACTTTACAGCCATAAAAGACTTCGGACTATACGATATTTGCACATGAATTCCTCCATCTCGAGAATCTGTGCTACCTCCCAAGCACATCATGAAGTCAGGAGTACTTACAGATTCAGTTCTAGGACCACATCACTGAACCGTTAGACAGGTCCGTAAGCAAGGCTCTAAACGGCATTCACCGGAGAGTTTGTCAATTTCATCATTAACCCTTTTATAGTGAACTATCTAGATCAGACGAATAATCGGTGGAGTCTCTCGAAACGCGAGAAATTCTCGCACAATTATGTTCTTATCCAGGCTCGACGCCAACATACTTATGTTACGTATGTATGCCCTACATGCAATGAGTGCCGGCATGAACCTAACTCCTTTGTTGTAGGTCCAATAAACACATTCGTCTAACACACGCCTCCCGAATCCGTAAAAACAGCTCGTTTCTTGTGCCTCTCGTTGGATGACCTTAATGTCATTGACTAGCCGCTACAACAATACTAACTGAAGAAATGATTTTCCTTATCTCTATAATGCGTGAAGAATCTTAATAAATGAATCTTTCTGTTTTGTCACAGTCTGCCAATACTCTCCTCCTGTTAATGACATTAAAGTAGTTCAATCTCCATGCATTGTAGTTGAAGCCCCTGCTTCGAGATACTTCCCTAATGCTAGCACCACCTAGATCTATTTATTATACCAGATTAAAGTCCTACTTCCAATATGTAATATGTGGACCCTGGAAGAATATTAATCGGGAATTTTAACGCCGCCGTGAACCAACAATGCTTGTTCCGGACGCCTTACAGGGGTCCCCTGCTAGGAAAGCTCAATGATATCTAATTAGTTTTGCTTGTCTTTAAGAAATATTGGAGTATTACTACTATTTCTATAGCTTTAAGTGTGTCCTTATTATTCCTTGTGGGAAAAATGCTTTTGCAATCCCACCTATCGGGGGTTATAAAATTAAACTTTTATTTAACTAGACCGCCTCAGTAAGAAACAAACGGAAGTTGCGGGGATCTGCTAGATTTGTTTTAAAAAAAATTTCCTTGCTCAGAAGAAATTCCTCTGATGTTCGAAGGATATTCTACGAGCTTTTAATTAGTATATCCGAATAGAGATTCCTTCACCTAGTTCTAAAAACTTTGATGGTGGATTGTAAGATAATATAATATCGCACAGCTGTTGCATTCAGACGCCAAATCATTCCAGCTACCTAAAAGCTATGGACACAAGCATTTATTGAACCAGCCACAACAGCTCTAATTAGATCAGACTAGTCCTGCTCCGACCAACATCCAAAATTATAGAAAATTATTTTTTTTTTAATTCCGCTCACCCCTCAGCTGGGATGGTCAACCCCTTTGAGTGTAATTTTGACAAGAAATAAAAAGTCCTCGTAAGAAACCATCAGCCGTTCGGAGACAGCTTAAAATAAACTGTTATCTCGGGCGAAAATCGCTTCAGCTGTTACAATGCGTCAAATATATATATATAACATCAACCGCATGGAATTTTATGATGGATGGATGGTTAGATGACGGTCGAACTCGACAATGTCCATGATTTTATCGACATTTTCGGCAATTGACCTTCCACTACGTGAAGCATCTTTCACAACAAAATTACCGGAGTGGAACCGAAATCGTGCATGATTGACTGAAACAGCATCAGTAGCAGCATATTTATAATTAGCGCTTTGTAATCGCTGTGACGATTTATCGGCCGAGTCTCCTCCTTCAGTTTGTGGAGTCGCACGTGGACTTGAACCCGATCCTTCCCAATGGCAGTACGCAATGCTAACCACTCAGCTGCCGCGGTCGTCAATAAAATTACCTTAAAATCTTCCTGGTGAGGGTACCCTAGAGACATCAATGGAGATGAAGTTTAGTAGAGGAGGAAAATATCCTCTCAATCTACATGCAATTGTCCCAAATGAACTGCGCGCTGATGGCAGAGGTATACTCAGATAATATTAATATCTCCCAAACTGTGCTAGTAACTTCCAAGCGCTATCTCCGTAAACTGAATATCTGGCCATAGGAATATTTTCGATAAGGAAAGTCTATCCAGTTGGCATACTTGGAAGCATCACTTTATTATGAAAGGTTAAGTACTAAGGACCTACTAAACAGGTCTAGCAAGAGCATTTACAACCACTGATCCATTTCTGTGCTGTGATGCATCTGCCAACGGGAGGGTTATGAAACAGTAGAGCTTTTGGAAGCCTGCAGGCATTTGACATGGAATGGCTGCCTACACTCGTTTCATGGGGTTTTCTAGTCGATGAAATGTTATAGCAGGCGCCGGGTTATAAGACTCGAACAACACTACTTCCTGTCTACTTAAAAGCCATTTTCATTCCGCCGAAACCAGAGGCGCTCTTCTTGGTGCGTGTAATAAAGGCACACGTGATTTTCAAATTTCTTTAAGACACCATCATTTTATGACGAAATAATTTAAAATAGTATGATTTAATTTGTACGTGCCTAAACAGCACGTGCAGTGTCCATAGGCATGCATGTGACTTACATACATACATATGTCTGTACATATTTTACTCATAAAGGCAATATTTACTTTTTTTCGATAATCGAAAGCGAACGGATATGCAGCGGATGGCACTTTTTTTTGTGTCTGAGGGCCAAATTTTGGCAATTTTAAATTCAAGACAAATGTTTACGTACGCAAACATTGAGGCTAAGGTTCACTAAACAAACTAAAAACTGGAAAAAAAAATCGTTGAAAACGCGCATGCTGGTAATATTAAATATTTACGATAAGATACAAAACGCTATTACCGTAATTTTTTTCTTATCAAAAGTGTACGATATTTTTTTAATTAATCAAAATAAATATTTGGCATTCCGGTCAAGTGGAAAATGAATAAAAAAAAGAAAACGAAATAAAAATAAATAGAAATATATATGTATGTGGAAAAAAGTCAACTAATTGAATATTAAAAAAAAAAACAAATCCTAACGGTTATGAGATTTTTCAAATCACAAATTAGTTTGAGTCTAAGTTTGGCGTTTGTCGTTGGCACACCGGTGTGAGCTTACAACTTTACAATTTAAAAATTTAAAAAATTCAAGCAAATGCAAGCTCCAGATCGTCGGCGTAAAAAGGATCGCATTCGAAATGAAATTTCAACAAAATCTACAATCCCATCTAACACCGGAATGGCGTACGCAGTACATCGATTATGCTGTGAGTGTGAAATTATTTTAGCATTTCATTTTTAAATTTTATTTAACTATTCTTCACTCCCATACACACACACGCGCGCGCAAACACACACATAGCACCTGAGGCAAATGATCCTCGATGCGATTGAGTTTGCACCATCGGAGAACAGCGCTGAGCAGCGCGTGTATTTTATGCAATTTCAGCAAAATTTCCACGAACTGTGTAATAAGGAATTGGAGAAAATTAATATGTTCTACGAGGCCAAGTTGGCTGAGATCAATCATAAATTTACAATTCTAAGAGATGAGCTGAAGTTGGTTGGTGAAATGGCCGATACGAATCTGTTGGCCCGTCCATCGATACGCATTAGCAATCGCCAATATCAGCAAACTTTGGATATGACCAAGATATTGACACGACATGCAACGCACGATTTCAAAGCAGCCTTCAGTGAGCTGTACTTGAATACCATACTCTTGCGGAACTATCAGATTTTGAATTACACCGGTTTTCGTAAGATACTCAAGAAATATGATAAGGTATGATTTGGAAGTTTCGAAAGGTACTTCGAAGTGTGCATTTGAAAAACTATAATTAATTTTTCGTTTTCAGCGCATACGTGGCCGCGCTGGTCATGACTATATGTTGGCGAATGTGGAGAAAGCGTCATTTCATAAAAGTCACGAAACCAAAGTTCTTTTGAAGAAAATTGAGGACATCATGACGTATAATTTGGAGCATGGTAATCGACATAAGGCTATGGAAAGGTTACGTGTGCCACCACTAGCTGATAAATCACATCCGTGGACTTCGTTTCGTACAGGTTTCTCGCTGGGTGCTCTCATTGTTTTGGGAATCATGGTTGTTTTATCGTGTGAGTATTGCACGCCTCCCAGTAGGTGCACTGAGCTTTCCCTATTAACGACAATTAAGTTTAAGAAAATGTTCTAGAATATTTTAGAATGAATTTTAATGTAAACGCGAGAAGTTTCGTACTAAAAGTGCAAAGATTTTATGTGGTAAAAGTGTGATTTCCTTGAAAATTAATTAATTTCTTTTAGTTTGGCTTATTTTATATTTTATTTTACTTTACTTTCTTTTATTTTATTTATGCTCATTTTTCCTTTATACTTAATTTTACTTTTTGATACTTCATTCTAATTAATTTTTTTTTAAATTGAAAGAGTATTACAATTACAAAAAAATAATAATTTCAATTTACATTTTTTTTATTCAATAAAATTTTGCTTTTTTTTCTTTTGCAAATTAATTGTAGTGAATTTATTTTAATTTTGTTAACTTTATTTTTATATATTTATTATTTAGTTTAAATATTTAATTTAAATCTATTTTTAAATTAATTATATTTTTTTAAACTATTTATTTTTTATTTAATTATACTATTTATTTTATTTCATTTGAGCGCATTTTTAATTTTTTACTTAACTTTACTTATTGATATTTTATTTTAATTAATAATTCATTTTAATTATTATTATATTCTTATTTACATTATTATGGCGGCCGCGTAAGCGGAGTGGTTAGCATTACGTACTGCCATTCGGAAGGCTCGGATTCATATCCTGGTGTCGTACTAACATCCAAAAATTTAGAGAAATTTAATTTAACATAAAGAATTAAGTTGTAGATCCTTCGATTTGTTGGAAAAATATCAAGACGCAAAATTATTAATTCATTTTATACAATTAAATTTTGATATATTTATTTTGAAATTTTATTTAAATGAATTTACTTTAATTTTGTTAATTCTATTCCTAACTTTTTAGTTAAATATTTCATTTAATTTTTTTTTTATTTTAAATAATTCAATTTTCATTTAAAAAATTTAAATTTCTATTTGCTAATATATTCTATTTCATTTAAGTTAATTTTTTACTTAACTTAAGTTTTAATTATTTCTTTAAATTTAATTTGTATTTAATATAATTTAGTTTAATGTTGCTTAAATTTTATTTTTTATTTAATTAAATTTAATTTACTTTAATCTTGTTCATTTTATTTTTATATTTTTTTATTCAGTTAATTTTTATTTTCTTTTAAATTATTTAATTTTTTATTTGTTTTATACTTTATTTCTCTATTTAATTTTTTTTTAAAACTTTATTTAATTTGACTTAAATTTTTTCATTTTTTTTTTATTTCACATCATACTTTTTCTTAAATTTAAAAATATTTATTTTGTTTTCTTATTTAAAAATTTATTTTAATTTTAGTTTATTTTGTTTAATTTTTTTTGCTAACTTAAATTAAAATTTCATTAAATCCTTTATTGTGTTTAATTTTATTCTATTCTATGATATTTAAATTATTTATTTTGCACATTAAATTTTTCATTTATCAAATTCAAATTATTACATTTTATTAATTATATTTTTTATTTTTTTGTTATTATACTATTTTATTTATTTTTATTTTTATTTTTATTTACTATTTTACTCCATTTTATTTAATATATTAAATTATTTTAATTTTTTTTGAGCTTTTATATTATTTTACTTTACATCATTTGATTTTATTTATTTTACTTTATTTTGAATTATTTAATTTAATTTTTTTTTATTCATAAAATTTTATTTTTTATTAATTTTTTTTATTCTTTTACTTAATTTTATTTTGCTTAATATTATTTAGTTCACTTGAATTGATTTTGTTATTTTATTTTGGTTCTATTATATTCACCATATTTTTATTTTATTTAACTTTAATTAATTAAATTCTTATTTTTTTATTTTCCTCTGTTTTGTTTATTTTGATGGTTTTTAATGAATTTGATTCTTTTATCATTTTTCTTAATCCTCACATAAAAATTTTTGTTTTTGTACATCATTTAATATAAATAAATTTTTGGTTAAATTATTTTTATATTTGTTTCATTTAAATTTCTTAGTTTTTTATTTTATTTAATTTAATTTTATTATTTTATTTTTAATTTAATTTTATATATAATTTTAAACACATATATTTTAACTTTTTGAATTAATTTCAATTTTTTATGTTACATTTCTTTTGGTTAATTAATTTTTTTATTTAAATTATTTAATTATTTTTAATTAATTTTTTATTTAAATTATTTAATTATATTTTATTTCACATAATTTCTAGATAAATAAACTATTACATATATTTTTTATTTTTTTTTATTTTTTATTTATTTGTTGTAATTTTATCTAGTTTATTTTTCTTTTTATTAATTTGGTTATGCCATTGTATTTTATTTAATTAATTTATTTGTTGTATAATCTTTAATTAATTAATTTTTATTGTTTTTTATTTTATTTTATTTCGTACAATTTTAAATTTTTTTATTTATATTTGATATTTGGCAACTTTTATATAACAATGAAAAAAGTTTTAAAGATCGTGATATAAGATCCCTCACATTCTTATATACAATTTTTATTTATTTTCAGTCACCATGAAAGTCATCGATGTGGATGTCGTCACCTGTGTACTACTCTTTCGTGGACCTTTTACCATGATACTATTTTTAGGTTTGCTCAGCTTGAATGTCTACATTTGGCGTTATGTTGGCATCAATCACGTGCTCATATTTGAATTGAATCCTCGAAATTATTTGGCCGCCGTCCAAATTCTGGAAATAGCCGTTGTATTCGGTTGCATATTGTCTTTACTGACACTCGCCTTTCTGCATTCCCAGTACCTTGGAATGCCCCCCTATGTATTTCCACTCGCCATGCCCTTAATTATGATTGCATTCCTCATCAATCCAATACGGATATTTCATTATCAATCACGTATGTGGCTGCTGCGATATTTGGTAAGTTTTAAGTGGAATATTATTTAATAAAAAGGAGAAAAAGACAGAACTTTGGCTTAACCTTATCCTTTCATGAACGGAACCAATTTATGCTATTTCATTTTAAGATTGAATATTAAACCTCATAATTGAAAATTTTTTTTGGTTGTGCTCTATGTTATATGTACTTATCCGATTCCTATAATTTCCGGTGTTATCGTTTATTTGTATATAAAATTAAATGATCTTAGATGCTTGCTTTGACGGACTTCTGACTTTTGAGGTTTTCTCATATATGAACAAGTCGGTTGTATGGGGACTATATGATATAGTCCTCTGATTTCGTTAAGATTTAATTGTCTCAATTCTGAAGAATTGGCCGTATATATGGTATAGTTCCAACCAATGTTACAGTGCATCTGCCTACCAAGTTTGTTTGAAATATCTCTACCGAGAGTTTGCATGCATCCCATGAGATGGGGCATTTGGTTGGGTTTACCTCTTTATCGTTTGATTTATGCCACTTCTGATTTTAGTAATTTTTCGTTGAAAAATTTTGTGTGATTTTTACCTTGTTATGATTTCTTTACTCCTACCCTAGGGTCGCATTGTTTGTGCACCATTTTTCAGTGTCGTCTTCGTTGATTTTTGGCTAGCCGATCAGTTCAATTCGCTGGTGGCACTCTTCGTCGATTACAGTCACATTATCTGTTACTACACTACGCCATTTGACTGGTATCATGCTAAGGAGCCGACTACATGCGCCACGAATCAACGTTATACGGCTTTGATACGAGTACTGCCGGCTTGGTTTCGTTTCGCACAGTGCCTTCGGCGTTATTATGACGATTCTAAGCGACCCAAGAAATATCTCATCAATGCGGGAAAATATGCGACGACATTTTTTGTGGTGTTTTTCGATTTTATGATGAAATACCAGGAAGGTGAGTAGCAATATTATTTATGATTCTACGAAGGAATAATTTTTGAGTATGTTTGTTTTTCTTTTTGTAAGCTTCCTATAGCAGTCGATTTAAAAATCCTTTTATTTGGCTTATGCTAATAGCGGCTATTGCGTCGTCAACTTATGGCTTGGCGTGGGATTTTCTAAATGATTGGGGTCTCTTTCGCCGCGATTGTGGCGAGCATAAATATTTACGTTCGCAAATTCTCTATCGGCCGGTTAGCTGCATACGAAAGGAGAAAATACTTTTTATTTATTTACTAATTAGTTTTTATGTTCCAGAGTTTCTACTATTTTTTGATAGTTGAAAATTTTTTGTTACGTTTCCTGTGGGCTTACGTATTCATATTGGATGAAACGAATGTGGTTACTAGAAGAATAATGGCGCCCATAGCGGATATTTTGGAGGCAATACGGTGAGTACATTAAAATGGTTAGGCTTATTCAAACATATGCTCGATGCTTCGATTTTTGGCCGAAGTCGTCCTCCAATTTGTGGTGTATGTCTTGATGTCTTTCCAACAAATGGAGTGGCCTACAGTTTATACTGTAGCCGTCGTCGAATGGCTGATGGGTTTTTATGAGGAGCCTTTCTTTCTTGTAAGATATACACTCGGAGTTTTGGACACTCTCTGCCGAGGGGCGACCGCAATTAGAAAATTTAGCTTAATTTTTTATTTAAAGAAATATTCTTTTAAAATTTGGTTGGCGGTCGAACGAGAATTTAAACCCTGATCCTCCGAATGACAGTATTTACTTCCAGCCACTCGGCGACCATGGTTCGAGACTTATTAACCGTAAATCGATAACTATGATTTTAGAATTAAATAGTAAATGGATTTCGAGCGATTAGCGATTTCATCAGTATATTGATATTTTTTTTTTTATTTAACCAAATTTGCTTTTACTCTTTCAATTATTTTTTCTCCCTTAGACGTTTCCTATGGAATTTCATTCGTTTGGAGAATGAGCATTTAAATAATTGTGGTAAATTTCGTGCCGTTCGTGACATCTCAATTACAGTTATTGAAAAACCATTTCGTGGTTCTTTGATTTCGCTTTCTGATCCCTCTGCGAAACCTACAAACAATTGGCGAAAAGGTGCTAAACTTAATGTGACAAATAATCCGAAAAAGGCCACCATGCTTGTGTAGTATTAAAAACACAAAATATTTCAATTTTTAATTAACTTTACTCTTAATTTTATAAATAAGTTATTAACTACTTAAGCTCTAAAAGTTGTGATTGTTAAAAGTCCTTGTTTTCTCACTTAAGTTAAAAAGTTAAATAAATACTTATGTATTCCTTCATTATAAGCTGCAAAACATTTCTTTTTAATCGAAAACAAATAGAAAAGTAATTTCATAAAGCATTTTCAATCAAGATTTATGTTATCGTTATCTTGTCGAAAGCTTTGCTTCTTCTTTATTGGTGTGGGTACCGCTTAGGCGGTTGTAGCCGCATCAAAAATCGTTCCTTCTCTTCGTTGCTTGGCGCCTGTAGAAAATACTAAGTGAAACCATTTCGCTCTCCATCTGTTCCTTCCAATGGAGTGGAGGTCTTTCTCTTCCTCTGCTTCCATCGGTGCCTACTGCATCGAATACTATCAAAGCTGGAGCGCTTTTATTCATACGGATGACATGACCCATACAGCGTAGTCGCTGTCTCTTCATTCGCTGAACTATATCAATATCATCGTATAGCTCGTACAGCTCAACGTTCAATCGTCTACTTTAAATCGCCGTAGGTAATGCGAAAATGAACATAAATCGTTCAAAAAGCTTTTTTATCGAAGACTATCAGGGCTGACTCATCGAATATCTACATCGTGCAAGCCTCGGCAACATGTACTAGGATGGGAGTGACTTATAAAAAATGGTTTTGTTATGTCAAGAAAGGACTTTACTTTTCAACTGCCTTTTCAGTCCAAAGCAGCACTTCTTGGCACGAGTGATTCTGCGTTGGATTTCAAGGCTGAAATTATAGGTGTTGATACTCGTGCCTAGATAGATGAAATTATCCATGACCTGGAAGTTATGACTGGCGTTTTGTCTTCTCCTCGTTCTCTACCAGACCCTTTGGCTTCGTTTCTTTGTTGAGCTTGGAGAAGGTAGGTATTTTTCCTGGTATGTCTTACTTCTGTGTTTACCTCTGTCATTTCATTGCGCACATACCACGGTGCACCCGTGAGATTTTGTAGCGGGTTTGATTCATTCCCATAAGTTTATTCCGTAAATCCAGATTTGTTTTATGATTGATTCATAATATATATATATATATAAGAATCTTATGTCTGTTTCAAAAGATCCAGTCCTTTCCAAAAGTCTTCAAAACTTACCGAAACAAATTTCGTCGGATTGTTTTTATGATTCCTGGAAAGTGTTTTACGGTACTCTACTACTCTTCCAGGATATTTGACTTCACTTGCTTGGGAGATCATTACGTTGCGTAGTTTCAATCTTGGAGACGAATAGTTTGCGAATGTTGAGGTCGTAACCAGGTGAATATTTTTTATATTTAACGGTTTTGTTATTGACTCTTACCCCAGATGACGTTGTACTCACGTCAGAAAAGTCCTACATATATAGTGAGACAAAAGTGGGTGCCTTGTTTGCGAACTGTTGACCAAAAACAAGATCGTGTTGATAATCTTGAGCAATGTTGGGCTTCAAATGTTATGTGGCAATGGATAAAAGGTGGATCCATTAATTCACCCCGGACACAAAACGACCGCCATCACCTCGTAAAACGATTGGGGAACAACTTCCAAAACGCCCGAAAGTTCTACAGTCGGCTGGAAAGGTTATGCACTCGATATTTCGATATGAGCATGGTGTTTTATTCATATACTATTTTGAGAAGGGAAGTATTCGCTGTAAGTAGTGAATATTATATAGCGTTTTTTGAACAAAGTTTTATTTCATCAAGTCAAGGCACTGTGTCACAATTTCAAAAATTAATGAAGTGAACTTCGATTTTCTCCCACCTCCTTTATATACATTAGATTTGGCTCTCAGCTACTATTATCAGACCGCAAGAAATTGCTCACTCGTAAGAAAATTTGTGTGGTGTATTTCGTGAGAAAAGCGAAAGCACTCTATAAAAGACTACTGAGAGCACCACTGCAATGATGAAGGACATAAAAAGGTCTCCGCGATTTGTATAAATTTCATGACATTTGGCGGTATTTCGAGTATTTTTTAATTCCATCATTATGGGGCTTCTGTGGCTTATCTGCGAAGAACTTGGCCAAATGATTTTCGGAGGCTTTCGGGCTTGAGACTGAAAAAATTATTCAAATGATGCAAGATCCGAGCTATATGATGGATATATTAACCGAACTCCGTAAATTATTTCGGGCTCAAGAAAACTGTAAGTGATCTAGCGTTGTCATGAAGAAACACAACTCCTTTTCTATTGAGTTTTTTGTGCTTTTTTTTTTGAAGAGCTTGTGTTTCGCCAGTTTGAAACAGCTCTTCTCTTCCCGACCCGACCGTATCTCAGCATCACATTGTCTGCCGACAATTGAGGCTTCAAAGTCGTTTGTGGAGGGGCACTGACCTTTGACCTTCATATTCTCTCCAAACATGGAGTTTCTTTAAGTAGCCAGCTTTTTTTTAATGATCTCAAACACTCAAATGAGTGATGCCTATGGACAGCTTACAAGCCAGTCTTGCTGCACGGAATGAGAGTATCAACACATTCTAGTGACAAAAATCGTGGTAATTCGTTAAAAAATAAAATATATGAATAAAAAATGTAGAATAAATTTTTGATTTCTTTGTTTTTTTGTTTCCAAAGATTCATATGTACGAGAGGATCAACAAAAGTTCGGTAAGTTGACCAGAAAAAAAATTCTTTTTACATTTCTTAAGATCCACTTCTGAAAACAGTCTTCAAAATCTTGCTTTTCAAGCTTATCAAGTTCAGCAACCGCATTAATTATCTCCTCGTTGCTCAATACCTTTCCTTTTAAATTTTTTTTTAATTTTTGGAAATATCCAGAAATCACAAAGTGCTATATCGAGGGACATGGTGCTGGAGGTATTTCTTCGATCCCAGGGATCGCAATAAAATTACTTGTTATTTCAGCAGCGCGTTGTTGTAGCGCCGCAAGTCCTCTCTCTTCTTGTTTTCCAATAAACTTGTGGTAAGCACTCTTCGGTGTACCATTTTGCAGTTACCGCCGGACTGACATCAATACTTGTCCTGCTGATTTTTGTGGCTTAGATTTTACGGGTGGGTTTGCTCCTATTGGGCTCCATGCCATGGGCTGCTGTTTGGTTGCTAGATTGACCATTTTCGAATTTTTTTTAGGAAAAATTGAGCAAAATGCGTTCGAGTCTCTTTTTGGGCCTTATTTAAAATTCGTGGTACCCACCGAGCAGATTTCTTCGTGTAACGCAGTTGATTACCTAATATTCGCGGCACAGCTAGCATTCAAGCCCAATTCATTAGCAATCATTTTATGTGTCAATTTTGGACATTATCAGAGCTACAGTGACGTCAAAAATTTTGGCCGACCTTCTCGGGGATCGTTCTGTACGGAAAAATGTCCAGCCTGGAAACTTCGGAACCACTTAGAAGAAGTCTTTCAAGACTATGCAATCGTTTCATATGCAATTTGGCGTTCACTAAATATTTGTATTGGCTGTAAATTACGATGAAATCCTATGAGCATCACATGACGAAGTTCTGTTTGCGTTGGTGAAGGAATTTCGCCTGACTTACCCTCCGCTATCGTGTGTTTCTCTTCTCCATTTTAGCCGTTCGTTCTAGAATCCGAAAGGACGACTAAAAAAGTAATTGAAAAGGATTTGGGATTTTTAGATTTCACAAAAACAAATTGAAAGTCACCAACTGATCGAACTTTTGTTAATCCCCTAGCACATACACATACATATATTTTTTGTCCCATCTCTATTAAATGAAAAAATGAAATTCACTGAAAGACTAGCAACATTTTTGACGCCCGAATGGCGTAGCCAATATATCAACTATGAGGTCAGTATATTCTTAGAGTAAAAATTATACTCCAACCTAAAAAGAGATGATACAAAGAATTTCAATTCCAGCAACTAAAAGGCATGCTCACAAGCGCTGTGGACAATGCGCCTGCAGATCAATCCGATTTGCGTGCTGTACAATCCTACTTTGCGGTCTTCGATGATCGTTTCTTCGAGCGTTGCGATATGGAGTTGCAAAAGGTGAATACATTTTTTGCTGAAAAATTAGCCGAAGCTAAGCGCAAGCAAGTCGCTTTGAAAAGCGAGCTTAAGAAATCGCTCAGCGATGCCGAACAACGTGGTCGTATGTCGAAGCGAGACTTTACAACAGTGCTATCCAAACGTAAGACCAGAGACTTTCGTTTCGCCTTCAGTGAGTTGTATCTGAGTTTAGTGCTGCTGCAGAATTATCAAACGTTGAATCATACAGGCTTCAGAAAGATATTGAAGAAGCATGATAAGGTGTGGGTTATTAACTAGACAGCTCGTATTGAATTTGAAACTAAACTTGCAAGCTTGCAGCTACTGCGTAACACCACTGGCAAGGATTGGTTCAATGTGAATGTAAACAACGCCTTCTTCTACACCAATCGTGAGATAATGAATCTCATACATGAAACAGAGGATGTGGTGACCAACTATTTGGAGAGCGGTGATCGTCAGCGTGCAATGAAACGCTTGCGTGTGCCACCACTAGAAGACACACACCATCCTTGGACTTCCTTTCGTGTTGGCCTGTATTCTGGTGCTTTAGTTGTGTTACTCTCAAGTCTCGCCATTTCACGTAGGTCTTCCAGCAGGGTATTGACATTTATAACCAGATAATTCATTTCAGTTTACATGACAGAACTAAGTGCTGATAATTTATTAGCCTGTGCACGTCTCTTTCGTGCCCCCTATTCTATTGCCTTATATCTGGCCTTGATTAGCATTAATATCTACGGCTGGCGGAAAGCGGGCGTTAATCATGTGCTCATCTTCGAATTGGATCCACGCCAGTATTTGACCGCAGCGCATGTTATGGAGATTGCGATCGCCTTAGCTGTGGTCATCACGATTACACTGATCGCCTTCATACACGCCTCGTATCTGCGGACGCCACGCTTTGTTTTCCCTTTGGCATTGCTTATTATAATGACGGTGTTCTTGATTAATCCACTGCCGATCTTCAACTTGTCTGCACGCAAATGGTTTCTCAAAGTTATGGTACAAAATTTGATTTCGATTTTTTATTGAGAAATTTTTTATAAAACTAAATTTTAAACAGGCTCGTGTGGTTTGTGCACCATTCTTTCATGTCGGTTTCGCTGAATTTTGGCTGGGCGATCAACTCAACTCGCTCGCTTATTGTTTGGTCGATTATGCCTACACAATTTGTTTCTACTGCACGAACCCAGACTTGGAAAACGCTGATGATCCCAATTCATGTGTCGCGCGTAATACTGTCTTATTCCCAGTGGTTTTGGCGTTGCCCGCTTGGTTTCGCTTAGCTCAGTGTTTGCGTCGTTATCATGATACTCGTCGGGTTTTTCCCTTCATCGTGAATGCGGGGAAGTATTCGATGACATTTGTTGTTGCACTCTTCGGCTATCTCATGGCCGGCACGCGTCGTAAGTACTCGTGGAAAAGTTATATATATTTGATTATGCATGTTTATGTATATTTTGTCCTTCTAGTCTCCTATGAATATTTCTTTGACAATCCTTTTGTTTGGTTCTTCATTATATCGAATGTTGTGCAGACCGTTTATTGCCTCGCTTGGGATATGATCATGGATTTTGGTGTATTAAAAAAATTTACGGGAGAAAATATTTTTCTACGGGATCAATTGCTCTATCCGACAGTAAGTTCCTTTGCAGAAACAATTTCCCTAGTATGGTTTTCCTTCTAAGACAAATCATCAGTTATAGTTGAATCAGTGTATCTTTTTGAAATGACAGAAATCTTCATTCTACTTTAGTCCCCCAACGGTGTTGAGATCTCCGACGAGTGGACACCATTCAGACACTATATGCGATCTAAGCTCTGTACTGTAGGTCTTTCAGTTTATCCTCACCATGTAAGTTCAACATTGGTCAGCCAAGCTCGATGCACTCACAGATAATTTTTGAATTTTTATTTTTTTCACATAGTCGGTTAATTGATTTGTTGAAAGAGTCGGTTCAGGATTTGACCACAGGTGGGCGCATTTAAGCCATTGATTGATTGCTGCTTGGCTTAACCTTATCATGTGATATCGAACAATCAGTTAGATTTGGTAAACGGTCTTGTTTTCCTCCATCTGAGCTTGCCCACTTCTGCTATGCAATTGGCTGAGGACGGGACATTCGTGAAAATAGTCCTACCAGATTTCTTTTTAACCTAGTTCTTGACGATTATATCTCAGTAGTAGATGTCTTGTCAATACACCTAAAGAATTACCAAATTTCCTTTTGCTTAGTGCTAGTGACAGTTTGCTCTATTTGCAAGCAATACTTCTCTACAGCAATTTAGTGTCACGTCTCATGTTGGAAATACTCCTGGCCCCAAAAAGTTCCTCTATGACCCACTAAAAGATCTGAGAAGCAGTCGGTCAGATTTGCAGATCTTCTTCTTTACGGGCGTTGGCACCGAGCATTGAGATTCTGAAGTTAAAGTCTCTGTAGTTTATACCCGCGCTAGAACCCTTTAAAATATCCAGTGTTAGAGGGTTAATGGAAGACTCCAAGTGCATTCTGACACTCCTTTGCAATCATATCGGACAGCCGTTGCCGTCACATCCTCCCAACTAAATATATTGAGTCTGGTTGTCCTAAACAATCTCGAAGTATTCATTGTAGTGTGAAATATCCAGGTTGGAATTCTGTTTGTTCAGCCTTTCCTAGATCACGATGGTTCCAAGAAGAAGCGATACCTTCACTGTTAAGCCGCATAGCCAGATTAGTGTGAATTTCGAGCATTGCTGCATTTACTTTTAGTCGTCTTTGGGAGGATATATGAAGCCTTAAGTTTTCCCTTTCATTCAGATTTGTATTTTTTATTTTCCAAAAGGTTCCCAGAACCTTTTTCCCTATACGCTGCATATACATTTTTTAGCTAAAAATTCAATATTTTTTTAGGGATTCTATTACTTTGCCATAATTGAGAATTTTATCAGTCGAATATTTTGGGCAATCAAACTCTATTTATATCAGCAGGAGTATATGGTTGTATTTCACAGTAATACGATTGCAAGCGGATTGGAGATGTTTAGGTAAGTTCATTTTTGATCCCATACATAGTTTTTGAGAATATAAAAACAAAATACATAGTTCTGTGCTCTCTTTCAGACGCTACATTTGGAATTATTTTCGTTTAGAGAACGAGCATCTTTTCAATGCAGGCAAATTTCGTGCTGTGCGTGATATTTTCGTTGTGCCAATTGATCCTGACGACGAGCTACAACTACAACGCATGATGGACGAAGTAGATGGTGCAATAAATCGATCTTCTGTTGAAAATGGCAATGTTATTGATATGAAAGAGGATTAAACGAGGCACAGAAATGATGTTCAGAAGTGGAATATTTATTTTTTTGTGTATCAGAAAAAAAATATCAATATAATTTCAACCCACTGAGAACTTTGATAAATTAAGTTTGCAGCCTACTCTTTCATTAACTTTTGAGCCATGCGCAAATATGGTTATCTCTCTCCATCTCTCTGATCTAGAGTATTTGTATTTCCCCATTCATACCTGACCGAGAACCCCGGTAGAAGAGAGATTGTTAAAGTTGAAGATGGAGGTGGTATAGTGCAGCTTCTCCGAAAATTGAGGACAATATGCTTGCCGCTGTTGTAGGACCTGTGCCATCGATATACATATACTTTTGGTTGTCCGCTAATATACGGTAATTTCGGCCTGTGGATGCCCTTCCCAATCACTTCAGCAATTAACACGACATTACAATTAGGTACATTTGGTCCATGTCCTGTATTCTCTGCAGGACGTTGCAATTTCATAAAGCACCTGGGCGTTCCCCAGGCATGGCGAACTTAAGCCACTAAAAATCGCACTTGCCGTCTGGCATGTGGAAAATCATGTGTTAGATAGATGGTTTATTAGAAAATTGATATCCTTGATTCCACCCAAGCAGGAGGAGAGTACCTTGAAAGAGTCGATGGTAGAGCTTCCGTAATGAAGTTATCTACCAACCGCTGAACTCTGTCTGGTTGTTCTCTTTCCAATAGCGTATTTGATATTTCCGCCGTCTCATGGTTTCAACTGAGTTTACTATGTTAGACGGTAGAGAGACAGATTTACATGCCTTTATACAGCGGTGATTTGTATTCTCTTGTAAAAAGTCTCATTTCGATTTTGATGGTTCAACTTCCCCTAAAGCAGTTTCCTACAACATATCATACATATAGAGAATTTTGATATATGGTAACTAATAGCTTTGTGGTGTTCTGTGGGGCTACAACAAAAACAGGTCCTTATCGTTCTTAGGGCATTACCGCTAGCATATGTTACCACAACACAATCTGTAGAGTGTGAGACAGTAAAACAGTGAAGGCAAAAATTCTTCTTAAGAGCAGTCTTTGTGGTCTATCCGGACATTTCGTAGATGATTCAATTTTTCAGGACCGATTCCACAAATCTCAAAGCTGATTGTTCAAGAGAGATTTTTTAACACGTTGACGGACACTTGCGTCTATAGCCGTCAAAGCGAAGTTCACTATGTGGCATGACGGCGATAGCCGTCTAAAACGAAACGGTCGTTTACAGACAAAAACACATAGTGTCAATTTTCGAACTTTACTTGTTCCTACTGTCCGTCAATGTGTTAAAGAACCTCTATCAGAGTCTCAAGGAGTTAAAAATTTGTATTTACAGCGAGCGTTTCGTAGCCCAAAAAGTTGTTTTGGGGAAAGTTTCTGGCGCATGCATATGAGTAGCAGTCTTTCAGAGATTGAGTTTTAAAAGAAACGAGGTGAGACAGAAGAACTGAAGAATTCGAGGGATTCACGTCATTGGCGTACCACGTTTTGAATGAAGATCTCTTTAGACTTCCTAATGGGTTGTGTTATTCAAAAGGATATCCAAAATTTCGCCACAAGTTGTAGTCCTTTCACCAACTGGACTTTAGACATAGCTTGGAATAAATGTGCGCCTGCAGAGAACTTTTCTAAGCCTGTTTCTTTCGACGTTACCGCAGGGGCGCTTCTCAGACTCTCGCTTATTTCCTCCCCCTTTTTTTAATATTTAACAATTAAATGAGTTATATAAATAAATAACACTAAATATAGAAAATTAAAAAAGAATTCAGTGATGCCAATTTTTTTTATTAAAAAAAAATAAATCAACAACAAAAATAGACTGAAGTCAACATAAAATATTTCGCGCTTACGAAATATTATCAGCCACCGCAGAAACCAAAGCAGTGCCGCGCAAAATCCAAAAATCAGGTGGATACTTGCTCTCCAACAGAATGGACAGTATAAAATTGGTCGAATGGCCGGTGGTAGATAAAACGCCGGAGCGAGCTTGTGTCTTATATAGTGGCGCCTCATAGCGATCGCCTGGCTCGATAGACAAACATGGTATGAAACGTACCACCGGCAGGCGACTAAACAATTCACCATGCTCGGCATCGCACAGACCGCCCTTCTGGAAATCCCAACGTGCGGCCTCTATAAATATGCCATGCACATTGACGCCAGATTCGTCAGACACGGGTAGTTGGCCGTAGAGTGCATTGTACTAAGCAAAAAAAAAAAAAAAATAGAAAAGGAAAGAAAAAAAGTAATTATTTGAAATAAACAAAAATAATAAATAATCCTTCACACTCACATCTTTACCACTAGTGCGTCGCTCAAAAACCGCCTGTTGTATAATGGTCATGTCGAAAAGTTTAAAATCAATCTTCAGCGAATCGATAGGCAGTACACGCTTGCGTGCGTGCGTCTGTAGGAGGCCGGTGAGAAAGGATTGCGGAAAGTAGAAGCCGCTTAGCCAATATGAACGCAGCGCACCATTACGCGCCCAGTTTTGTATGAATTCAACACGTCGCTGAAAGTCCACGATGTAATTCGGTAATGGTTTGATGGAGAGAAAACTCTTCTTAGCCCACAAATTGGGTACCACATTGGTTAGCAGAGCTTTGAAGACTTCCTCTAATTGCTCGGACATGACGACCAGACCTTTAATCGCCTTCGAAAGGTTCACCAGACTATCGTGTAGTATCTTCAAGCTGATATTATAGCGATCAATCTCCTGCACAAGCACGGTGGTGAGGGAGGGCAGTTGACCTTTGGCATCCAACTGTGAAAAGTAGCAAATAATTAAGATTTGAGCAATAGTTTACTCTTGCAGATACACACCTCAGTCAAAGACTCATTAAGCTCATCGCGCTTAATCTTGGTTATTAAGACACCTTGAATATACTCAATAACATCCTGCACAGTCTCATTCTCTGCCGCCTGTCCTTCATCAGCCGCAGCACGTGGCTGTCCCAACAACAGTGTGGTGATAAAGAAATTTGTCTCTTTCGTTTGAAATACAATATTTGCATTTTGATTCATACCAAAGATCTCCGGATCTTCTATAGTCGGGAAGTTCTGTACATATTTTATATATTCATTTACAGTTAGCTTTTGTGGATCACAATAATAGGGATCACCACGTGAATACTTGTAACCAACTTCAATAATTCTGGGCGATGAGAATGTCTTCAGCACAGTTTTCAAGCAACGTTGATCCCAATAATCCGTGACACGTCCACCCCATGTGATTTCACCATTTATATAAAATATAGCATCCCAGGGTATTTCTTCTGCCTTCTGGCGATTTATAAAGAATTCCAATGTCTTCAAACCGCAATCACGATCACTTTCATTAAACTCATACATTATATTCCAGCCGAGTGGTCCGAATTTACGGCGCTCCAAAATGACAGCGTGAAACATGCAGAGGCCGAAGACAATCGCACGCCATTTCTCATGCAATGCATGCTTCTCGAAGAATGTTCTCTCCAAATCGTTGAGAGCGCCCAACACATTGGCTTTAATGCCTTTTGGCGGCTCATTTGTCAGCTTCACAGAGTTTTGTAGTACGCTGATGGGAAAGTTCTTTGTGGGCATGGACGAGAGGAATAAGCGGAAATCGTCGTGTGCTTTGCTAATACCCAAAGTGATATTACGAACAATGGTCTCCATTTGACGCATCCACGAGGTGGCTAAATGACAGTTTTGCAAGAATACCCAGTGTCCTAGACGCAAACTTTTCTCTATTAAACTCTCGGCAATGGGACCTTGACCTTGCCCCAAAGAGATTGAATAGAATTTATCCATATACTTCATTTCGTCGGCGAATTTGAGAAAAGAAGCCATAGGATCGGAGCCGGTGGAGAGCACGAAAACCAATGGTGTTACACAGTTGGTGTCCGCGAAGCTGTTGGGAGGGTGGTAGAGGAGATATTGAGAGTAAGTGAGATACAAAAATTTCTCGCTGCTACATACACTGTTTTCAATTGGCTCCCTGCCGCGGAGGTTTCCGTGAAGTATTTACCCACGGTCGCCATTAAATACAGCACTACGTGTAGAAGAAAACGCTCACGTCGAAAGACGCGTATAAACATCAGCTTATGGAAAATAGTGAGACGCTTGTTCCATGTATCCACAGGCGGCGCTTTTGAGTTGGAGAATATAAAGACCTACACGAACGAAATGCATTTACTTAAAGTACAACAAATATCGCTATCCGCTCACCTCTCTGGTATTCATTATTTCCAAGTAGAAAGGTCTTGTCAATGCCTCGGGAAATCCTTTAAAGTACTCCGGCAATTCCATTTCCAGGAATACGCAAGTCTCCCAATCCTCATCGGTTAGTAAGAGCTCTTGCGGCTTCTCCTTATGCGGCACAGCGCCAACACGGCCACGTGTCAAGAAATTCATATCGGCTTGTGAGATGCGTCCTTCCTGTTTCTCGATTGCTGTTGCTAAGAGAAAACTAAATATGATCTTATGATTCTCAAAAAGACCACGAGAAACATTTTCAAAGATCGCTTTCAACTCATCCAATTTTAATTGCGTTATGCGTTGCTCGATTGTTTGCTTTGGATGATCTTGACGTATAACGTTGCAGAAGACTTGCGAAAAGTATTTCAAACTATATTGATACATGGGATCCACATCAGCTAGACCCGCAACCACGAAATAGAGTATAGCACCACGCGATGCGAGTGAGCGGTACTTTTCACGGGTGGCCGTAATGACTTTCTCCGTCTCCTCGGTGTCAATGAGACGCGTGGCAATGATGAGTGAAGTTTCCTGCAGGAAGAAAAAAAAGGTTGTATCACCTACCTACCACTTAGAAAGTGTTTTTGGAGAGCTACTTACCTTGGCATCATTTAGAGTTTCAACGAGTTCCTCGTCATCCAATATGTTACCTTGAGAATTGTAGAGTAGTTTCAGCACTTTGTCCTCCAAAGCCAATAATTGTTGTTTGTCCGAGTTAATTTTGACTATGAGATCATTGCGTTGTACCTCCATTGCGGGTAGCTCAATGGCGACAATGTCACTGGTAAGTTAATAAGATAATAGATATAATAGAAGCTCTTGGACGTCTGCAAACCCCCCTCCATCCTAACTGAGTTTGGTGTGACTCTAATGAATGTGCAATAAATTTCTACATGATTGGGTTGAGTTGAAGCGTGAGTTGTGGGTCGGTGATTACCACTACACTAAGGTCTATGCACCAATTATGATATCGCTGTGAGGTTCCTATCGCCTTCTCAAGTGCCCGAGCTCTTTGGTGTGCTTTATAAAAGCAACAAGATTACTAATTTTAGCTAAAGAAAGCTCCGTGGGTTGAAAAAGTATTCTTACGAGGAAGTAATGTCACGCGGTTGTCAAGGTTAGAGAGAGTGACAGGATTGGTGTCCGAAGAAAAGAACTAATCTTATTCTTCATCCACCAATGGAGAGTGCATTGATCTTTTTGCGCCTAACTTTGGACACAACTATCCGATTAAAGTTCCCTATCTGTTTAGTTCGTTTGCCGTACGATTGCAGTAGATTTGAGCAGTCATTCAGTAGCTTCCATGCTTGCAGTTCTGCCTTGAAGACGCTGCAATGGTATGGTAGTCTCATGCTTATATCATTGAGTGTATCGAAAAGTTGTGAACGAGTTTAGAGTTTTCTATAGGGACGGCTAGGGTTCCATGATCACGAACGGTTATCGTGTCTCCTTCATTCCAGTTTGAAATTCTTGCGGAAAAGAGATTGTCAAAGAAGATGCTGGTGTAATCCAGGACACCCGGCATCTCTGGGAAAGACACTATTTTAGCTGGAGCCCACCGAGTTCATGACCAATGAAGTTTTATGCACTCGCATTGACTCAGTTTTTGTATTGAGCGGATGTCCTAGTGTGACCTGGCTGCCTTTATCCTTTCCTATATCTAAGCAGATGTGTTTCGATTTTTGGAACACGAAATACTAAAACACCTCCTTCTCATTCTAACCTATTTTATGTCACCATATCAATAAAACTTTCCAACTTACGCCAAAAGTTGATCCTCTAGACCATTTTCGGTGACCAAAAAGTTCACCAACGTCACGTTTATACAAATTTCTGGTAAATAATGAGGATTCGCCAACTTCGTGGTCATATAAAGTTTAAAATGCGGATCATAATCGATAACAACATCGCCCAATTTTAAGTAGACACGGCCCTCATGCACATAAGTTTCGCGCTGTAGTATCGGTCTTATGGATGGGTCAATATTTTCATCGATATCCTCGAGTAGCACTGGGAATCCCTGACGTATGGCATTTTCCAGTGTGCGTAATAGTGTGCCATCTGTCATTTTGCACACCACGAGACCGTTCGCCTTTTCCATATTGCGAATCCAGCGATTCGCCTGTAAGGTGCATGAAAGTCACAATAAGTATGGTTACAATAGTAGTTTAATAGTAACTGATAAAGCTCACCTGCTCTTGTGGATCAATCATAAGTGGCCAACGCAAAGCGCGTGTAGCATATAGACCATTCTCAATTGAGACGGTATCCTTGGGCAGACCATCCATAGTCCATTGACGCATTTCATATGGATCACCCAGCACTTTGAGCAGAAAGAATTCCCCACTAGATGGTATTTGATGCTCTTGACATTTGGCCACCCATTGTTGACACATCTCGTCGCGATACTCAGTCGAAAAGGCACCTAGATAAGCGACACAAGCTGCTGAGACCAGCACATCACCAGGTACACATTGCAAATCTTGTGTTAGCGTCTGTTAGGCCAAGAGCGGGCGGTTATCAAGCATATCTTGTCGCTAACAATTTCATATGGTTACCTTCACAGTTTCCTTCCAGCGTATTTCCTCCTCAGACAGCGCAGAGGTTAGACGTCCAGCGCGGTTAATGCGACCATAGGTCAAATCGACTGCGTCTTGTATAGTTTTGAACTCTCGGTTTTTCTCCTCCAAGTCTTCTTGTAGTGCTTGTATTTTGGCTTCAACTGCTGCTAGTTCTTTTTGCTTCTGCTTCAGCACGGTCATAATGGCTTTCAACTCGGCATCCGCTGCTTCTTTGCGTTTCAATTTGGGCTCGACCACTTTATAGACTTTGGAGAATTTATCCATAGCTATGACCCACATACACACGGACGAAGCGACCTTACTGACTTTTTCCAATTTCTACAGAGAAACGAAAGAGAAAGAATGTGAGATGTATACAGTTAGCGGTAGGTGAAATACCTACAGATGGCAAAAAGTCCTTGTGCTCAATATATTTTTTCAACTTCTTGAGCACATCTTCCTTAATGTGCTCCTTATCGTACTCGAAGAGACGTTTAAGAAAGTTCACATCAGCCATTATGCGCTTAGCGGAGGCCCAGTCGGTTCTAAGGCAAAAGAGAATGTGTGACATAATAGAAACCCGCTATAGCTCAAAGACGTCCTTTGCTTACTTGGAGCCCAATAAAATGCACACCGCTTCCATGGTGAACTGCACGAGCGCTGGTGGTGTAGTGAAGGACTTCAATTCGTTAATATCTGCCTTCGTGAGGTTCTTCAAAGCTTCATCAGCGTCACGCAGCGCTGGCATAGCGATTTCCAAATCTTTATTGGCATCATCCGAAATGACTTTGCACACGGCTGCTTTCTCCTTGGCAACATTTTCATCCCGCATCACTGCTTCCTTCACCTGATCCGCTTGTTTTGTGTCAAAACTTAAACGATCGACTAACTGTTTCATAATGGCTGACTTCTCGTCCAGCTGCGGCACCATAACCTCCAGCTCCTTTTGCATCACCGCTATCTAGGAAGGGTTTGTGTATGAGATAAAGGTAATTTTAGATGTGTAAAAGTATTGATCGTGCCGAGAAGTTAGCTTACTATGTCATTAGTAGCCAGAATTTTATTTAAACCGTTAGCGATGCGTTTTCGTTTGGCAATTATTTCGTCGGACTTAACCTTCAATAAGTTCTGATAAAGTTTAAGTAGCTCCAAATAACTGCTTGGGGTGGTGTAGTAATGTCGTTTCATTTCCTTGTAGAAGCGCACCGATGCCTCTTCAACGGTCTGTGGAGAAAAATAAGCAGAATTTAAATAAAAAATATGAAATAAAATTAAATAAACAAAATAAAAGAATATAAAATTAGGAAAAAAATATTAATAAAAAATAAAAACAATAAAATAATAAAAAATAAAACAGAAAAAAATAAAACAAATAAAATAAAATAAACTAAAATAAAATAAAATAAAAAAAAATAAAAAATAAATAAAATAAAATAAGGAAAAATAAAAAAAAATAAAATAAAATAAAATAAAATAAAATAAAATAAAATAAAATAAAATAAAATAAAATAAAATAAAATAAAATAAAATAAAATAAAAAAATAAAATAAATTAAAATAAAAAAAATAAAACAAAATAAAATAGAATAAGAAAAATGAACTTAAATAATTTAAACGGAACCGAAGAAAAAGTAAAATTAAAAAATTAAACAAAATTAAATAAATTGAAAACAAAAAGATAAAGTAATATAAAAAAAATTATATGAAGTTAAAATAAAATAAAATAAAGTAAAATGAAATAGATTGAATTAAAAAAATTAAAAAATAGATATAAAATAAAATATAATAAATTTCGACTTTTTCGACTTTGCCATTCAGATCGAGCGAGTAGTAAAGAAGTGGGAAATATCGAAGAAATTACAATTTATCTTAGCCGCTAGAAAAACAACAACAAAAATCCGCCACAACAGCAACAGCAGTATTGAGAATTTCTTTCAGCTGGGTAACTGTGTTTGCTCCAGCTTACCTTGTGCATAAATACAGTAGTGCTTGCGAGAGCAAACCGATCCTTCTTTTCTGTAGCAATATCTTGTAGAACACCCAACGCCACAGAATACAATGCCTCAGTAGGCCAATTTGAGAACCAATCAATGGTTGTGCAATTAACCAAAGAGGGAAACATACGACAACGTCGTCGAAAAGCATCACCAACTGGACTCATAGAGAGCACAACATGCAAGTTATTGCGCACACGATTGATAAAGAATTTATAGATTTCATCGCGACTGCAACCCTGTGGAAGGAAAGTGAATTAATAACAGAATTTGAGTGATTCCAAAAAACAAACTGACACCAGCCATGGCGGCATTACAAGCCTCACGTGTATCCAATATGACTTTCTCGTAGTCATCGCCTTCGAACAGATTTGGCACTTCGCCTGAGTTGAGCATATTATTAATATCTTCCAAGAATTCTTCCTCAACAATTTGTGTATCGATCATTAGAAAAACGACGGGATTATTTTCCACCTGCAAAAGTACTTTGTGTGAGTACTCATTTTCAAGGCAGAAATCTACAAACTTACGCCCGCAAACCGATAGATGACTCTGAGATCTTCGTGAAAGCCATTTATATCGTAATTTCGCTTCAGTTCAATTTGTAGACATTTATACTCGTTAACATGCGCCGCTAGCCGCGTCAATGACTGCTTACCCATGCCAGCCACGCCCACCAACAAACCATAACCACGATCACTGCGTAGCAGACGTGCCAAACGTACCGTGTGCTCCAAAGCATCTTGAAAGAGTATCAAACGCATGCTCTTGCCAGTCATCGAATTATAATCCTCAATGTAATCATTCAATATGCTCTCCAATTTCTTATGATCGCTGATCTCTTCATAGATACGCTCATTCTTCGGTTTACCGAACACCATAAAGTCACCAAATAGTATAGGTGGCTCGTCCTTCTTCAGCACTGGTCTATTGAAGTGCTTCAGGCAAACTTCATACATGATATTATTGAAGATGGCCTTATCCTCATCGTTGATCAAACGATCGTGGAAGACGCGCGTAGTCTCGTGAAAGAAGAGGCGTAAAATCTGTAGCTCTTGGTTGTAATGAGTATTGCTGGCCTGCAGTATGCCTTGTACGCATTTGGATAAGTCGCGCAGATTAAATATATAATGAGACTTATCTGGTGTGGGTAACATCTCCTTGGCGATACGCGAGTAGACGTCTACACAGGCGTTGACTATCGGTATTGAGAGCGGACGTATGACAGAAGAGAAGCTATCGAGAAAGCTTAAAGGAGAAAATTAAAGAAATTAAGAAAAAATGAAGAAAGTTTTCCAAAATAATAAATTATTCATTATTTCCACTCACCCCCTGAGTATCCCGGCGAATATAGTTGTCAACGTATCATTATTCGGTTTCGGCAAAGAGAAGAGCGCGAAATGGCGCACATAACTACATAAAGCGAATGTTTACAGTAAATTTTAAATCAAAAGTAATGAAAACACACCGTGGCGTCAGCGGATTACGGCCACCACCAGGTGGTGCGCAAGCACAACCGAGCACAACATCCAATATTTCCTTCCAGAAAAGTTTTTCCCGATCATATAAGCCCTGGAAATCGAGAAATTGTCTAGGAAATGGAAAATATTTTAAGAAAAAAATGTAAAACATATGGAAATGTCTTCTAACCTCAGCAGCTCAATCGCCGGTTGACTGCCGTATGTGTCTAATTTCGGCATATTCACATCGTCTATAAACACGATTACCATTTTACCGAACGGCGCACTGAGTTGTGTACGCTTTCGTTTTTCCAGCTGTGCTTCGATCATTTCTTGTGTGCGCGCGCTGCTCGTTTGTGCGGAAAAGTTAAGTAACACGGGCACTACATTACCTTTTGAGAGTTTTTTCAACACGGAAGTAGCTAAAACGGATTTGCCGACACCAGTGTCGCCCGTAAACATAACCGGATAGCGGCGCATAAAAAGTAACTCCGATACGTAGCTGAGAAAGAGAAGGATGCTATCAGATGTAGAAAGCCAAGGTGGTAATGGAATGTGGTCATGCTTCTGGATATGTTGTGACAGTTGCAAGGCTATACTTGATTTTTACTCTTGCGTCAACGTCACGCACCGTTGAAACGTGGAACTACTACGCAAGGTGCAGTAGCAAAAGGCTTAGAACCTTGGACCATGACTAAAATATAGGAAGCTGCACTGTAGGCACCTCGACATATTCAGTTTAAGGGTTCGCTGATATATAATAGCATAGTCTGTTCACTAGACTGATGGCTTCGAGTGGCGTCTGGCTATAGAAATTTGTCTAAGATCTAAATTCGACTCGCCTAGATTAATTCTGCGTTGGGGTTTGAGCCTGTCACTGCTTTTTCACTGCAAAGGTATTAAGGGATATGGCTTAAGGGCATGAACTTGGAGTATCCGGTCCTCTTTAAGGTATCTCTGCACAGCTGATTGATGAACTCATTAAAGGTGAGGCTGATATGATCGCCATGCAAGCGATTAGTCATATGAGGCAGCGTAAGGTTGGTATTAGATTTGTGATGGGAGAGAGTCTCAGGCCCGGATTACTATCGTTTTCATCAAATCGAAGTTTTTCGAGGTTTCGCTAATGTGTTCCCACGCTCCGACGAAAGAAAGTGTCGCTAAGACGATCCAGCATGTAGTGATAGACGTAAGACACGTCCACAATTTTAGATGTGTGTATCCTCCAAGATCATTAAATCGACTCGGACTACTCAAATGTTGCCAATAGTTTTAAAACAGCCAAAAGAACAGCTGGTACGATGAGGATTGTATTACCGCAATGGAGAGAAAAAAGACTGCCTCTCACGAAACAAAGAATCAGAAGTGTATAGGAGACGAGAGCAGATGACCAACAGGAAGAAAATTTTACGAAAAAATTGGGCGTCGTTGGGAAAGTCTCAACAGTCCTCTTTGCAGGAATGAGAAAGGAATCTGCAGCCTGAGAATTCTGATTTTCTGGAGGTAACTCTATGGGGCTTGCTTAACTGTAGCGAAAGTGAGACACCCGCATTTCGCGAACTTTAGTCTCCCACTGTTGGTAATGGTATAGTCGTGTCATCTCCCCATTAGGATAAAGTTCGAATAGGATTGCTCGCTTAAAAAATAACAAAGCGACGGGAGCTGATGATTGTTTGATATTCAAGCTTGCTGGCGAAGATATAACGGTAAGATATATGCATCATCCGCAAAAAAGGAGACCCCGAAATCTGTGCCAATTATAGTGAGATAGGGCGTCAAATCCTGGAAAGAAGCCGTGAGAATAGGATCTCTAAAGTGGCGCTAAGCAACACCAAAAGCTCTGCCAGAATGGGGAAAGACAAGGCTTCAGACAGGGCCACTCTGTCAACTTGATACTGGAAAGGATAATAACAGCTGAAGAACGATCTCTCATAAGGGTGTAGATCATCCTGCGAAAGGAAAGAAAGGAAGACTTTCACTTTCACATTTGAAAGATAAGGCAGATAAGGACTTGAACTACACTTGATGAAGAAACGATCAACGCACTGTTGCTAATTTGACTATAATCGCGTAGGTGGTCACTCTACCAATAAAGAAGAAGAAGAACTGGTTGATCTTGAACTCTTTCTGGTGATGAAAAATTAGCATGGATTCTTACTCCAAGCTGGTGGCTTCGATACTTGTGGGAAACATAATTATAGCATAACATTCACTAAGTACAATCCATCTAGAGGAGGAAGAGGATCAAATATGTGAAAGTTTCCGTCTCAGCTGCCAGGCTATAGCAACGCTGAGACTTTAGATTAAAATAAATTTTCTTGGACTTACCCATACTTCGTGGTGTCGACAGTCGGTACTTGCATATCGAAATATTTCATTTCTTGGTCGAAAACAAACTGATCAATTATGTTATTCCAGCCTTCCCACAACAGAGTCTCCATATTGATATAGTAATCCCAGATAGTACCCGAAGGAAAACTGTATGTGCAGAAAAAAAAAAATACTAAAGTAAAGTCTTTACAAACAAACAAAACTTACTCGAAATCAGAGTCACCACCCAAAACCTCTCTGATTTGCCGTTCAAATCCGTCCTTTTCGGAATCTTTAAAATTGGACGCGACCGACCATAAAACCGACCAACAAAACATTTTACTTATCAATGGCTTATATTCAGCATCTGTAGACTCCAACCACTTTTTCTGCTCTATCAACGAGGCTAAAAGTTCGCAGAGTAACCGCATTTTGGCGCTTGTCACCTGGTGTATCATGTAAGTGCCATATTTGTTGGCCCACTTTAATAGTTTATTGAAATATTTGACGAAGAGTTGATAGAGAAATTCCATTTGTGGGACAGTCAATTTCGATTCAATCTCACTCGCACGCCATGAGTCCACTAAGGGCAGCCAACCTAAGTCATCGGGATCGACATAAACCATGCCACAGCGTGACACTGTGGCTGGTGAGGCTTGCGCCAAGTCTTGCACTTCGAAGACCATATGCACCCATGCAGTCAATTTGATGCGCTCCGAGTTTGCCAAACACAGCATTTTATTGTCGTCCAGCACGGTGTTTAAGTTCTCAATCCACACAGCATCGACGGGACCATCATTTATAATCCACTGGTGTATTTCCTCTGTGCGGGCGAAGTTCAAGTATATTGTCTTGAGTTTATACACTTATGAGTGAGACGCGTGGAATGCACTTACCTTCACAATTCACCGCTGTGCGCACTGCCAAGCCGAGCAGACCATCTTGCCACTCCAGCGTCTTAGAGTCGACATAACCATACAACTCGTTTATATGCACCGCCTTCGGGTTCATAGTTTGCATTGTGACAGGCCGAAAATTTGGTCCAGCTACTTCTTTCTCATACAAATAATTCAGCGCAAACGCCAGATTGTGCAATATCGTCGTTTTGCCGCCACCAGTAGGGCCCACCAACATCACACCCCAACGCACGCACATTGTCTCGTACAGCTGTATGCCTTTGCGTAGTGTGATCGCCACGGGCTGTAGATTTTTCAAGCGCAAACCCTCAACCATGCCCTCTTCCAAGTCTGGATGTGACGAGTCGGGCAGTTCCACGCCCGGAAACAGATCACTAAGTATGCCACGGAATAGACCTGCGTCTTCGGCCAAAAACTTTGGTATATTTGAATCACGTAACGCGGCGATCAATGTAATATCTTCACGTTGATCGGGTGCAGCACGCTTTAGAGCACCTGCCATAACCAGCACAGACTTGACCGCACGCATGCCGAAATCATAGTGATTCTGCTGGCTCAGCTGTTCGCTACACAGTTTGTACATTTGCACCATTTTGTGTGCGAGTATTTTGGGATATTCGAAGCCCTCCGAGTAGAGTATGACTTCCGAGATGAGCGCGTAGTCTGGCACCATCATGGACATTGGACGGAAGAGCGCTTTCAGGTTATCCGGCAACTCAGTACGACCAGCATAACCAGGATTCATGGTGATGAAGACTGCACAAGATTTATTTAATTTAATTTCGCGTCCCTCAAAAATAAAGCTGGTGGAAAGAGAAACTCAATAGCATTCCTTTTACTCGTAACCGTTTCAAAGCTTCAATCTTACCGCTTGGCATTAATAACTTTCGCATTCCGTATAGTGATCAATTGTTGCGCAATCACAGACAACACTTCGATGTCGATGCGATTGAACTCATCAAAACAACACCACGCACCACATTGTGCCAAACCGGAGAAGAAACGTCCCATCATTTTGTAGTCCAAACCCTCGGAACAGTTGAAGACCACACATTGTTTCGCTACAGATTTCGCCAAATCTTTTGTAGTTTCGGTTTTACCCGTACCAGCGGGCCCAGCTGGCGCGCCACCCAAATCCATTTGTAAAGCACCCATCAGACAGAGATAGCAACGATCTGTTAGTGGTGTTAATACCAGCACACCACCAGCGCCCAAGTATTCATAATAGTATGGTATATTAGCGGATGCCATGCGAGTATAGACAGAGTCTGTGTCAATGCTCCAATAGAAACGCAACATCTTCAGCCAATTAAAGTCGGTGCTGGAAACAAAAACAAAAGAAAACAAAGTGATACTTTTAATCACCGTAAAGAGAAGGATTTTGTATAAAAGGCGCTGTTTGAGTTGAGAGAATGGCTTTCGACAAAAGGTGGCGTCCCAAGCGACATAGGTAGCCTTTTTCGTCTTACTTTTCATAACTAGTGAAATAGTTCAGCTCTCTTGTTACAGCTGTAGACTCGTTGGAAGGGAGAGAGCTGTCATTTGCATGGCATAGCGATCGATCTCCCTAGATGACGATATTCCTCACTTCGAGGCTCTGTAAAAAAGAGACCTGTTTAAAAGGAGATAAGTGAACCGAAATTCTATTTCGATATTAGTAAAAAAAATCGTAGGTCTCTTGTATGTACAATACAACGAGCGGAAACTGTCAGGTTTGAAAGAGAAAATTGTGTCACTTGGAGTCACTTGCACTAAACGCTCTCTAACCTAAGGACCTCAGAAAGAGGTAACTCTCCGTTTCAATATTAGTAGGAATTTAGTTACAGAGCTTCGCAGGTTGCGTACTGTGCATAAGAAGTGACAGCGCACAAACTCACAGGTCCCAGCAATGGATCCTTTCTGAGATCAAGCTTAGAAAAAAAATTGTTCATCCTCAAAGCCCACCTTGCTTCTAAACCGGTATTAGTATAATGTAAAAAATAGTTGAGTGAGTACCAACGTGTACTCTCGGTGAGAGAGTTAGGGGTTCCCAACCGGGCCAGACAGTACCTCGAAAAGCAGAAGATACATCAATTATTGAGAGATTGAAAATTGGCGGAGGGGCAAGGTCTTAGCTAACTTTGAAGTAATATAAGTATTCTCTCTTCTCAGTATGAGCATCCAAGTAGAACTAGTGTCAAGAATAAGATCAGCATGTTTATCACTGGGATATTGCATAGTGGTCAGGCTGGGAGATCCCAAAAATTTCCGAATGATTTTCTATCAAATATTCTGAACCATCTGTTTCCCAATTGAGGTTTTGTGGTCTCTCCGATATGCAGCTTAGAGCACGCGGCTCACACTATCGCTATAATTCCTACTTACTTCTTCGTCACCGCCTTGTCGATCAAGAGAGTAACAGAGTCCTTTGCATGTACATCGATTGTTATGAGCGCGCAGAGAACCTTTCGAAGTAACGGTGTGATGTCTCTGCGCGTGAGAGCTGCCAAAGCAGCTAAATTTTTAAAGCATTTCTTCTCGAATTCCTTCATTTTTTGTACTTTGGTATTTCCATCAGTTCTAGTGTTGTCCAATATAATATGAATATCGGCAGCCCATTGTTGTTGTGATATTGTAAGCACCACTTGATTGGGATGATCTAAAAAGAAGAATACTCATAAAATATGCTCAAAAATTGACGACTAAATTTTTTTTTTACCCTGAAACCATTCATCACGCTCCTTGGCCGGATAACATTGATAACCGAAACGCATGTAACGCCTTACCGCAATAAACATGGCCTCCTCCACCTTACTCAGCCACTCTTCGACAGCGCCGCGCGCCTTAAGACCCTTACCGAAGAGTAATTTCTCACCTTCGGGCGAAATGAAGGCAATTATGTCATTAGTCGGTATCATCTTGCCACCATCACCGCTCTCCTTTTGGCCGAACTCCAGCCGATAGATGGCGTCAAAGCATTTGCGCAAATGTGGCTGTACCGCCTGTGGTACACGTGTTTGTGCTAAAATCTCCAAAAGCTCATCGTTGGATAAGAAATAGAACCTGGGAATATAAGGAAGTAAATGAATTTTTTATTTTAATTATTGTAGCAAACCAACGAATTTACCTTGGAAATACGACACGTTTCACTTCGAGGTATGCCTCTAAGCCGCGACTGATTAAGTCCAGCAGACGATTGTTTTCATTGATTTCATCGAACGTGTTGCGATCGGTCATAACCGGTAATGCCAAGGCCACCTTTTTAGCCTGACGCATGATGTTCTTGAAACTTTTGTCGACGGTGAAAAACATTTTCGCCTCTTGCGGCAGCTGGCGTTGTATGTCTGGAGAGGAGAATATCGCTTCGAGGTATATCCATGTTGTTTGACAATTCATCCAGACCTCTGCCGGTTTGAGAAGGGAGTAAGTCAATTAATTGAAGTGGTGGTGAATCAATGGCGAGTAAATATGTCTCTACATGAGAACTACATCAGTTGGTTAAATTCTTATCTTTCGCAAGTTGAGAAACTTTCGAAGTGTTACGGCTACAAGGTATAAACGCGATGGGCGCGATAGCCGAGTAAGCTGTAGTGAGTGCTATGAGTCGGATGGTCATGCGTTCGAGTAAATTTGAGATTTCTCACTGGGAAAACACCAAGGCACTTACTATAAGCAATCTAAGCAGAAACACCCTTCACTTTTTTTCAACCCATTTCATTTTATTTTGGGCTAATTTTGGTTAATTTAGGTTGAATAAGCTTTTGGACCTAAGCTTTGTTAGTGTTCATTACGATGGATCTTATTAGCTTCCACTCACTGCCGAAACCAAAGGGTGTAGTTAGCAAAATATAGAGTAATCAATGTATCTCAGCACCAGCCATTTCGGCGAAGTCTCTGAAGATTGCCTTCTCCAGAGACTTCAACATACTCCCCCCAAAAACTGGCCATCAGCAATGTTTCAAAATCTTCCTCCTGCCTACAATTTTATTCTATTTTATTCTATCCACTATGATTTTTTTGCCTCGATGGTGTTTGCTCTGCTAGTGAAAACCATATCGCAACGAATTTTTTAATGAACTCTCGAGGCAAGCCGCTTTCTCGACTCGTTGTTTTGGTTTCCTGAACGGTTTGGTGAAAGCCGTGGAAGTGGATTGAGATCTTCGCGGATCCTACTCACTGACCTCGCTGATATTCGAGGCAGCAGTCTGCCCTTCTGGCCCAACCACGCCCGAGTCAAGGTTATCCCTCGAAATCACTTTTTTTTGTCCTTATCGATGTTAGCTTTTTTTAGTTGTGAGCCCGATAAATATTTCTCTGTAGCTGTTGAACGACTTTAGGAAGTATCTTGTTTTCAGCTGGTTCCTGAGCATTTGCTTTTCCGGATTCTTATTCAGAGTGCCAACCATTCTATAGTTGGTTTGCTACTATGTTGTTAGATTCGCTCGTAGAGCCATGAGTAGCGGGAAAGTATGTGTGTACCCGAGCAGGGTCCCATAGTAACCAAGTAAAGCCATAAATACCGTGCGATACTATGTGTTTTATGGGCTCCCTTTTAGTCTGTACTTCGGTACATTTAGATTAGGCTCCACCACAAAAACAGCTATCGAGCAACGTCAATATAGATCAATGACTCCTGACTTTAGTGGAAACTCTTTCGATAACGTAGAGAATGGTATGTAGTATCTATTATTAATCGGCATAGTCATGATGGTTCGGCATAAGAACTTTATTTCAATGGCTTCAAAATCTTTGAAAGCTTTCATTTTCGTCAGTGAGTATCCTAAAGTGAGCAGCCGGGAGAGCTTATAATGACTCTTTTCTAGTGAACACAAGTTGAAGTTTTACTCCTTCAGGTATTTACGGGCAACAATAAGCGACATCCTTCTCTATGAGAAGCTCATCTTAAGGTGCAAAAGCCCACCTTAATGAACCAATTCTTTTTTATTGGTGGACCTATACTCTCAATTTGAAGACATTTGCTAGGATCTACTCCTTTACGTTTCTATTGACTGTACTAAACTTTTGTATGAAGAACCACGTCATCCGACGAGCGAACTTCAGCGAAAACACGAAGCCGATATGGGAGCCAGTTTAAGTTCTTGAATCTAAGGCCCAGACAATGTTCGACTATTAGAAATAAAATTTAACATATCTTACCGAGCATCTCATTGAACAACTCCATGAGCTCAATCCACTCCAGCACTTTCGTCTGTATGGGTCCAACAAATTTCGAAGCAGCAATTGTATTAATATTCACAGTTGAATCATCCAGGATCACTTGCAACTCCTCTGTACCGGCCAATACAAACACATCCTTCTGATCGTGATGATTAACGATTGACAATTCGGTTTCCTTCCAAATATTTTCAATATTTCTCAACATTGTCTCAAGCTGCGATTCACCGGTGGCTTGTGCTGAGATCTCCATCAACAAGGCTGCTTTGTCAGGCTCAAAAGCACCAGCCGCTTCGTAGGTGGATATACGTATGCCCTCCTCTTGGTAAAGGCGTATATTGAGTACACTTTCTATATCGTTCCAATGGCGCTGTGGTGGCAAGTAAATTAAATTGTTTAAACAATTATTACTATTGTTAAAGTATTCCTGAAATATCTACCGGCTTGAAATTTGGATTTCGCAGGAAACCAATGACGGGCAGCTTTTGTCTGAATTCCTCAGCGGAGACTTTCATCTTGGGCACTATATTATTTGCTGGTAGATATTTCTCGAATTGTAGACAGTTTTTGATTATTTTCGAGTTCAAGTTATTCATTTCCTCAACATTCAGCTGATTAAATTCCATGTCAACCCAAGTCTCCAGCGCAGCAAACCATTCGTCCAGAGAATGCCATAAATTGGTGCGCAGACGTATTTCTTGGAATGCATTATCCATTTCGAAGAATTGCGATATGTCGATCTTAAGGCAATGCACTAGGTCAGTTGAACTCTTTATAAGAATTTTTAGTAAAATATATAAATACCTTGAACTCCTTCTGATAACCAATGTACTCCTCAGCACGCTCTTTACAATCGCTCAGTCGTTTATACAGCTCATCGAGCATGGCCTTCGCTTTGGCGCTCCCGGTATTTATCTGTTGGCGGTAGAGTGTAAATTAATGCTGAGTAATGCTCTGAGTATGGTCAACGTGCATTTACCTCCAATAATTCCGCGTTTTGTACCGAGAGCGCGATCTCGTGTACTTCCTGATACAAAATCTCTATATCGGCCAACATGCGTTCGTCTAATTGTTTAACGAAATCGGGTCGTTTCGCTTGCGCCTCTTTCAGCATATCACTACCACGATTAACCAGATCCTCACAGTCCATATAGTCTTCACGTCGCTCATCGTCGCAGGGTATTTCAAAGTCTTTAATTATCATGAATAAATCATGTGCATAATCAACATCTTCGAAGAGTTTATTCAAATCTTCATCAATACGATCCAACAGACGAATGTGTTCGACTATTTCCAAAGTGGTCTCGGGCTCGTAACGTATGAGCGCGATAACGTCGTGTGCTTCTTGTGTAATGCGTTCCACCTCTTCGGTGGCTAGTCTATGGAGGGTGGTGAAAAAAAGTTCAATAAATAAAGCTGAGGCTTTACCGATGAAATTATTTAGAGTTGAAAGAAATTAAAAAAAAATTTGGCTAGTGGCATCTTATTAATAAATATTTTGTTTTCTGCGAATTTATTTGTTTTTCTAATATTTTTTCATTTAATAATTTGAATAAAGTGGAAGCCCTCCAAAAAAGTTCTCATTTCAAACCCTTTTATGTTAGATGGAAATGGTTGTTGAGCATCAGCACGCTTAGACCACTAAACGGCTCAAACCCACTCAGCCTTAGGCCAAATTAATGTGTAAGGTTATCCATACAGAGTAATCGATGCACCTTCGCACTTGCTACTTCGCTTAGGCTTCTAACGCTTGCCATTTCTAGAGACTTCAATCTGATAAGCCAGGTGTGTGGCTTTCGGAACGGAAGTGACTCAAAGTTTCAAGTGCCTTCTCGCCTCTATAACGTTTGCAAAATCTATTTATTGATACATCCAGCGATTCTGCGGGACGACGTTATAAAAGACGTTCCGCAAAAGAGACTTATCATTGTAGATATTTCTTCTTTTTTTAGCGAGATAAGCTCTCTTGGACTTCTTTTGCCCCGATATTATCAAGATTACTTTAGTCTCATTTCAACACTTGAAATTCTTTCATCTTATACTTGCATCTGATATGAATAATTATCCCTTAGAGCGCTTACAAACGGAGAACAGAATGCTCAGACTTTTTTCTGATGGCGAGAGTGGATAGAAAAGTGGATGGGTGTACCTTATCATACGAGTAGTGAAGTGATTTAGAGCAGATTCTAGGGTTCTTTTCGTTATTAGACTTAGATGTAACAGTGATATTGTAGCCAAAAAGGTTTTGACTCATCCGTATGAAAGTGAACCGAGTCTGCATATGCTGAAAATATGATGGGCGATTAGTTCCTCTCCGGAATAACCATCGCGTAGTCTCTCGTGAAGCTAGTGAGGGCTATACAGTGTAGATTGTTTTGCCAATTTCCTTTCAGATACTTTTGGTAGTTTTTCGTAGCCCAAGCAGGATTATGTAAGCCAATGGGGTGTAGATTCAAGAGGACAATCATGGCATCAGTGGTTGTCGTTGATTTTTTCCAGAGAGTCTTGGCGATCATACGATAGATACTTTCCTTAAGAACAGGCGAGACTAGTCTAAGTCATCGAGCAAAACTACTGGGAGGACCTGAAAACGGGCTATTTCGACGAGGTTGGATCAAAGGAAAAGAGGAGTTAGATGAGTTGCTTTTATGGGATCTGCAAAGGGTGGTTAGTGTCTCATAACATACAGGACATGCGTCGAGCATGTCGGGGTCAAGTCCGTTGTAGGAGGCATTAAGCCCTCTACAATACCCAGATCTTAACTGCGTCAATACCACTCGGGAATTTTCTTTCTGCAATAAGTAGTGCTTGGAGACTGAGGCGCCATTTACAGGAAGAGAGTTCATAGAGCAGTAGGCGGTCAAAAAGTACCACCCCAGTAGATATCTTAAACTTGTAGGTTTCCTGTTACGGTTCTTCGAGCCATGTTCTGTAAAGCTTGTAACTCCTCATTTACGTGTCGTTAGTTCCCGGTGCAGTGTAATTTACGACCGGCTGACCAATTGCCTTGTATGTTGCGAGAAAGGTTTCTTTGTATTTATCCCAGGTGCTGTCGGCTAACAATTTTAGGATTTTGTGGACTTTTGTGGTAATTGCAGTCGTATGCGGAGTGAAGGAGTGCAGGCATTGGAATGTGACTCCCATTAACTTTGGGTTATTTATTGTCGGAATTTTCATAACATCGACATTCACATCGAGCTCAATTTAGAACAGAGATTATTAATATTTTGGCTAGACGCCTAACAGTATACTGTCTATATAGCGAAATCGAGTAGTCACCAGTTTATGAGATCAAAGAAGCACTCCCTTTTTGAGACGGGGGCTCTGAAGATGTACATTTTAAATAGAATCGAGGAAAGGGCACCACCGTGCGGAGCCTCCTATTTAATTTTATGAAGTTTAGAATTTTAACCTCGTAAGTCTTCCGATGACTGCCGACCGCTCAGCTCATGGCTTACCTCTTTAACCTCGTCCCGTCCGATAATATCACTTAATAGTTGATGGTTTCAAAAGCTTTCGACAAATTCTACTTAAGCTACCAGTACGGTTAGCACGTTGTGTCGGCTTAGGTTGAGGTCTGGGCATTTATGGCATTAAGAGGTTGCAAAAGAGCCGCCTGTAAACTCACATTTAACCCTGCGCTGATTTCAATCAACTTTTTTACCTCAAACACTCTTACTCACTTCGGTATGTATGTAGCAAGCACAGTTTGAAGGCTCTGACAAATGGGCGTAACGGTTTCTTTAAAACTCGTCTGTGTTAGCTTGAGGAGACCCAAATTAACTATCGACAATATGCCATCCAAAGCGCGTACATTGTTGCAGTAACGATGGCAGTAAGCGCGCAATGCGTCCAGATCTGAAAAATACAAATTTAAGTGAATAAAAATTGTGAAAATTTCGCCCTTAAATTGTCAACCTCGCTCCGATGTCAATATTTTAGGATCCGTGGTCATATCGATCTCATAATTTGTACGTATAGTTTCGAAACGCTGTGCATAGGACATGGCTTTTTCATAGGCGTTACGTATGTAGAAGAAGATAAGTTTGCTGGATAAATGAAAATCAGTGAATTAACAAGCAAATTTATATAAAAAAAGATATTCCCTATAAGGAAACTCACCGATCTGCCTGAAATTGTTTATCGGTACGCAGGAGAAAATTCAAATCAGGTGCGGCCATTGCTAAACGTTCCTCCTGACGACCCATAATGGATGGTCTGAGGTCACAGATACATGATAGAGTAGAGACGTAAAGTGAGAAAGAGAGAGGAAGATAATTAAGGTTGCGAGTGCAAAAGAGCAAAAGTGAGAGTAATTTAGAACAAAGACAAAAATGTTATAGCAAGAAAAGATGTAGAGACAGAGAGAGAGAGAGAGAGAGAGAGGAAAATTAGATCAATGTGATCCTTCTCCTCGATATACGTCTATGTACATACTCTGTGTATTGATTAAACAGTTTGTCATCCGTATAATTCTCCATATCCGTGACAGTTTCTAAGATCAACGAGGAAATTCGTTGGAAAATATGTTTTAAAACATCTCTGAAACAAAAAATTAAATTAAATTAAAGTAAAATTATGCGTTAAAGTTCTTTCAAAACCCTACTCCGATGGGTCCACATCAATACGATCCGTTAGCATATATAACTCAGCAATGAAAAATGGTGTCTACGTTGAGGAAAACCAAATGAGAATATATATTAATTTTGGTATTTTCATTTCATCATACCGCTGGCATATTTTCCGGTCGTGGTGCTTCAATTTGTTCATCCAATCGTTGATTTTCATCCAATTCATCCATAGTTGGCGCAATTTTGTGATGCACTTCCATTGCTTCGACCAAAGCGTGAAAACTTTTCGCCGTCAACTGATGTAGCATGTGATACATTAGATTGTCACAATAGCTTAGGAAACTGCGAGGAAAGGAAATTCGATTTTAAATTAATGATTTTTTTAAAGGAAGTAAACTAAAGTGTTCAAGAACTGGACATGAGATCAGTGAAGTATATCCCAATCTCATCTGGCTCTGGAGCGGCGAAAACGTCTTGTGTGGTCAAGTTTGTAGTCATAGAAAAAGTGCCTAATGAGTACAAAGTAGAGCAAAAGAGACTGTTAAGAAGAAGCTGAGGGTGGAGGAGAGTGTGTAAGTAGAGCACAGGACGCATCCGTATTAAGCCCTTTCTTACTCTATGGTGTTTTGGTAAGGTGGACTGCATTCAATTAAATCTCACATAGAAAAACTATTGAGCAACGGCAGCACACCTCACATACCCGACTATCTAAAAGAGTCCTGTTCTTTTGTGATCCTAAGAGTTGGCGTAGGTTGAATATAATGTAAGACCTTCGGACCTAGCTGAACAAGCAGGGAAAGGGTGAGCTATACTATACTATACTTCATAACCCCAACAAGGTTTCTAGCTATATTAAAAGAGGGTGCATAACCCCGAAGCGTACGACTCGCCAGCGGAACCCTTCAGGCCTTAGGATCAGTGTAAAATTTTCATGACGTAGTTAATCGTGGCAAGAAAAGTTGCTGATGGGGCCAACACCGCAAAAACCTATATTATTTACGTCCAGGGACAATTCATGCAATAATCTCATAACATCAGTATGAGTCGGAGAATGCCTTTAGAAGCAAAGAATCAGGAGTTAAGGTGACTACAGGGAGCTAACTGCATATTTATTGGGCAATAGGTTACAAGAAAATTGTCAATACAGTGCAAGAGATTGCTAAAACTGCCACAGGTTTGGAGACCGAACCAGTATATGAAATGCAATTGATTTCCAACAAAATTTCCGCCTTAGCTGGAAGGTGGATCAGGGTGAGATCGTAAGTCCAAGTGGTTGACACGGCATAATTCAACTGACGAGGGAAACAATCATAATTGAAGTGCTGTGAAATCTGCCATGATGAATTCTCAGCTAGAATCTCATGGGGGACAGCTCCATATGCAAGAGATGGCGTATACAATATATCAAATAGTATCCCAACGCTTTACATTGGAAAGAATATGCGATGCGGTTGTAGTACATATAACACCTGATCTATCCAAAACGGACCTCAGACAATCCTTGTAGCTTCCACAGTACTGCAGTATCTGTTATGCCGAAGTCTTCGATATAGGGTAAGCTGCAGCGCTGGATATACAAAGGTTGCTACAATCGATGTATAATGAGATATGCTGGAATATTGGATCAGATTGAGAGCAAAATCATCTGGATCTTAAGCTAAAGCAGCAAAGAAAATACTCATACCTTGCACTCATATTTCCATAAAGACAGTAGTACAGTTGTTGACCTGAGACGTTATGCAAGCAGAATGAGCATAAGTAGTAGTGACCCTTGTAGGAAATGTAGGAAGGAAGGTTTGGGTGAGGCGTTAGTGCATATCCTATTTTTTCGTTCGATATTAGCCATAACTCGTCTTAGATATCTCGAAGTTTTACAGTTTAAAAGCCTAAAGGGGGCTTCAGAACTGCAAATTAAGGAAATTTTGAGTTTTGTGAAGGATTTTGACGTTCATTCCGACGATTACTTTAGATCGCAATATAACGGACTTCCATCTGACACTACCAATGATCAACGGGTCTATGTATTGCACAACAGATGTCCAGTGTAACCTAACCTTACCTTATACACATGATACAGTGTGTTCTATATATATCTGTTAAAGTATACCAACAAACCTCTAATTAGACTTCTGACGTTTACTATAAATATCAGCTGAGTATGCAATGTTCGGTTTCACTCAAACTTAGTCGTTCTTAGTCGCGTTTGAATAACTTTTAACTTACTTCGAAAGCATTTTACAGAAATTTCGCTTCTTCGCACGATCCGTGAAATTCATAGCTTCCTTCATTTTCTTTATGGATGGATAAAAATTAATTTCATCCGTAGGATAGAAGCCACGCTGTACAATGGCTGCCGTGCAAGCGTCAACTGTGTTTGGGGAAAGATATATATATATATAAATATATATTCTATGGATTTCAAATAAAATATTTCGAAAATAAAAAAATGTTCTTAAACTTAAAAAAATATTTTTTTTTATTTTTTTTTTTTTATCAAATACTCACAAATCATCGTTTTGGAACGATCGTGAAATTCTCGCAGCGTCGTTTTCATACGTTCGTAAACACGCATTTGGGTTTCGAGAAAATAAAATGGATGCCATTCTTCGATAACTGTAATTGAAATTACCATAACGGTTTAAATGAAAATTTAAGGTAAATATTTAATTTACATATTTCCTCCCCTCACCTGCCACATTTACAAAGGACAGCTTATTCAGTTGCACAATATCCGCACGAAATTGTAGTATTGCTTTGGCCAACGGTGGTATGGCAATGAAAAGATGCTCTCGCAAATAATTGCGTGCATCGTTCTGCTTGCGCCACTTAACTGTCTTCTCCCAAACTTTGAAACCCTTCCACACACGAAACACAGCGAAGCTGTGGATTTTGATGATGCTCAGGAATTGTTGAAACTCCTGTTGCCACTGTGTGAGTGGTGTGAAGAAGTTCTCCGACAAATGCCAATAGGTGACGCCGTGACGGCTCATTGTGAAGTATTGATGTTTATTTGGTAGATCTTGATATTCCACTTCCCTATAAAGCGAATGCGAGGGCGAGATTAAGAGAGAGATGGTATATTCATTTGTAAGTAGATGTGCGGGCAACAGTTTTTGAACGAAAAAACAACAAATACCAAACTCTAATAAGTCTACTGAAGTCTTTTTAAGCAAGATACTGTGAGAAATAACCTAAAGAGTGGCGACAGGCCGTTGATGGCATGAACATATGGACTCAGATATAACTAAAGTTTATGAGATACAGTGCTGGTAGCGATGCTCGCTTGAGGAGGCTCTGTTTAAATCATACCTCCGATTTGAACCATCTATCTAGCATTTTCCGAACAAAAGCTGTGACAACAAAAAAGCTCTTATGTTATCTAAATCTAAACGGCCTTTCCGTATGTACTACACATAAACTTCTTATTCTTCGATAGCTAGGCAGCACTAAAAGACCGAAACCAGGTTTATCATAGAATCGGGTAAATCGCAACGACGAAGCCAGCTCTAAACATGTTATCGGTGCCAGGATTTACACTTCCTGTGTCGCTATCAAAGAAGATCTCGACCTGCCTACTAATTTAAGCTGAAAGATACCTAAGTATTGCTATCTAATCAGGATTATGTGTACGGTCTTGGATCATGAAATATCTTCTGAGATAATCGTTCTAAGTTGAAAGCAAATATCTACGACTAAAAGTACTTTCACAGTGTGGGATTGCCTTTCAATTGACTTTCTTAGGTAGTGGGCAGTATGCTTGTTTCGCATTCAGTTGGAATAGGTTAAAGTCAGTAGGGCGACATATTTTAGAGACTTGTGAGAAATATTAGTATCAATGGTCTCAATAACCCCAAAGTTGTTCCTCCTTTCTACAGACTGTGTAGAAAAGCGTAGCAAATGGGTCTGGTCAATCACTGCATTTGCGTTTTGGTTCCCATAATTTTGGCTACCTTGGAAACAGTGTTAACACCAACGATGAATCAACGATGAAACAACGGATCGACAACCAACTACCAAACTTTACCAAGCAATCATCATGCCCATCCTTTTATTTGGTGCTTAGGTATGACGATGACAACATATGATGAGTTGGCATTAGGAATTTTCCAGAGAAAGGTTTTGCGTACAATTTATGGTCCTTTATGTGTTGGGAACGGCGAATATCGTAGTCGGTACATCGAAAAGCTGTAAAGGAGACCATGCCGTCAGGTACGGATATAGTTGAGTGAATTAAGAGATAGCGACTACGCTGATTAAGTGATGTGACGCTTATGGATGAAAACGCTCCAGCTTGCAGAACATTTCGTGATGCAGTACTCTGTTGGAAAGATTGGGTGAAGATGTAGTTACGAGTGGGTAAGAGAAGAAATGATTGGCGCGATATTATTTATTTTCTATATTCGTAGCTGCAATAGTCGAGTGGTCTTGGACTGATCAAGACCTAAAATTTTGGAAAATTATTTTATATAAAATATATAAGCTAAATTTTCTAATTTCGGTCACCCATTGGCTGGGAGCATCAACCACTCCGAGTGTATTTCTGACATGAAACACAAAAATCCATCAGTCGTTCGGAGGCGGCTTAGTATAAACTTGCAGGTCCTTCTATTTGTTGGAAGAAACAACAGGCGTAGGCTACAATTTTGAAGAGCTCAATTGAAAATGAATAAAGCAATTATTTGTATATATGTACGTAGATATACTCCCGTAAGCGGTACCTATTAAGAAGAGGAAGAGTGAAATGTGGTATACGAAAAATCAACAATCACTCAATTTCGTCAACCAATGTATAAGGGTTTGTTTAGAGGATTATTGGTACCACAGTGGTCTCTCATGAAAACCTATCAACTAAGATTTTTTAAACAACATACATTCCTGATCTGAGAGTCAAGTGAGAATGGATTCCATAAGAAAAGATTCAGGAAATTGTGATCTTCACTTACCACGTAAGTAAGGTAAAATCGGAAGCTCCTTTTCTGGGACTTGGCAGTGAACCAACTGCAATCTGGCTGCTATCGATGTTGAATTCGGCATCAACCCACAATACCAATGCTCTCAAAAACGGAGCTGTGCTTTGCAGAGTCTGAAAAATAGCTGTGACTCATCTTGGACAGGAAGTTAAACTCAGAGACCATTGCATAACATTCACTGACCTTACAATGGATTTCAAGGTAGTTATTCCAGATAGAAACCAATGGAACAGGATAACAGCAGCAGAGATCCGCGGTGGAGTCTACTAAAGGAATCTTGGTATTTGCAAATTCTCTCGCTTAGCTTTTATTAGTTTGTACCAATGGCGCTCTCAGAAAATCGTATTCATATAAAGCCGGATTGCCAGACCCCTTTAAGAGCCCTGGTATCTCTAACAATAAAATCAAAAACCGCAGAGAATTGCCGCATATCACTTAACGTGATGACTAAACAGTTCTCTCTGAACATGATAACATACCGGACACTCCCCTTCCTTTTTCTCGAACACGGAATACCGCACTCCACTTTTAAATTCAATACAAGAGAGTTATTTATTAAAGATGCTAACTCAAGATGGAGAAGTCTCATGTGTGTAATGTGACCAAGACAATATGGCCTGAAAAGAACGGAAGAACGGCACTTGAACTTGCAGGAGAGAGTTGAATGTACCATTTAACGACTTCTGTAGAAGTTGCGGCTAAGAAGAGGAACCAGAAAAATTTAATGCACTTTCTTTGCGATTGCCAGGCACTTAGGGGGAGTAGCTTCAAGTCTCCAATGGCGGAAACCTTTAGAGACTTAATCGAAATAGCGACAGCTAAGACAGGCAATGTCTCAGTTTTACAAACTTCTTACAGTGGTTTGATTAGTATCGTCAGTGATATCGCAATGGGCCCGTTTGGTGGCTTAAGTGAGGTGATGCTCAACAACTACTTCAACCAACCAATCAACCATACGCGGCTGCTAACTCTTATTGAGCTCTAGGAATATTTTTAAAATCAATTCTATACTCAAATTTAATCTTAGATCCATAAGCAAATAATAATAATCAGGAAGAACATAAAGCATCCGCTAACTGTATGTCCGTCATGTCTTAACCTATGACTTGACCTATCAGTTGGACTCCTGAATAAATTTTTCGGTCGAGTTACTCCTTCAATTTGTGGATTTTTATCTTAGTGGATGTTTTTCCAATAAATTGAGGGATCTACTAAGCCGCCTTCGAACGACTGATGGTTTTTTATAGGAAGTTTCCCACTCTTTTCCAAGGGGTGACCTAAATTAAAAAATTTAATCTGCTATAATTTTGGATGTTGGTCGAACCAGAACTCCCATACTGGGTTTCGGAACGGCAGCAGGCATAGCTGATCGCTTCACCGGTAATACAAAAATAAATAATTTAATAAAGAAATACATTCATTTTCACCTCTGACTTAGGATCTCTCACATCAATATAATTTGTGGTTTTTTTATGGTAGTATACACTCGTACATACTTACATTAAGCTGTAAGGCGTGAAATATTCGCTCGACTTGCTGAGCATATACGTCAGATAGATGAAACGATCATCGGGATATTCACGCACGCGATTAATCAATTTATTCAGGTCCGGTATGAGTGAAGCGCCCGTCTTCATGGTATGCGTGGAACATGTAGATTTATTTTCACTCATACTTAGACGCCGGCTCGAGGGCGCTACATGGAATGTAGCCTTCTTGCCCTGTAACGGTGCATATCTGATTTGCATTTCTTTTGCTTTTGAGCGAAGCTTTTCGAGTTTCTTGTGGTCAGCCATTATTTTGTTGCCTCCCTGCTGTTGTTGTTCCTTTTATTTCTAGTTTCTAGTTTCTCTTGCTAATAATTATTGAAAATATTTAATTGTATTTTTGAAAAAAAAAAAAATAATAAAATTCAGTTTTCGTATTTGAGATGTGTCCGATTGGAAAATATTTTATGAAATGAAATCTGAAAAATTTATTTTCATGCCACTCGCAATTCAATATTCACCTCGAATTATTGATTTCACTATAGCAACATTGGTGCTGTTGACAATGGGACTATTCTCTACCACCTGTTGCACGTTTGTTTTTGTTTATTGTTTATATTTTTTTGTTTTTTCCTTTTTTTTCTTTCGAAGGTGCGTTGCTATGGTGAAGGGGTTTGTTTAGTGAGATTTTGGGCTTCCTTTGTGGCTTTCTCTGGAAAGTGTGTTTATTAAGGCGTATGAGGAGTGTTGTCATCATTGGTTGGCTTAAAAGGAGCTAAGATTCTGCTGAATAAAATTTTTATGTTAAAAGACTTATAATCTGGAAAAAAGGTGATATTTCAGGTATGTAGAAATAATTTAATTAATTTATATGTAGATGTAATTTAAAATTTTGAAGGTGTCCATCAGAGTTTGCCAGCAAAGAAAGTCCAGGGCAGCGGACTTTTTCAAAAGGTCAAAGATCACTCTTCCTTTAAAAAAATTCCCCCTCGAAACCTCGATGAACTAACATGCTTACTCCAAGAGCACAGAGCTACACGATGTTGGTGGGTGTATCAAAAAAGGCATACTACCCGAAGCTGCAATAAGCGTCCTCGAGAAATGCAGCTAGAACAAACCACAGTGCCCCTCGTGGAGACCGTACAGTGGAACCATTACCACAGGATCTCTTTTAATGACATTCCTGTTGTTGAGTCGAAATTCAGTACAAGGTTTGTGATTTACGAAATTAATAGGTGAATACTTAAAGAAAATTGGGAATTATTTCAGAGTTACTACCAAAATAGTGATTCTACAAGAAAATTACGCACGAAAACCAGATCGATTTGTGTACTGTAATCGGTAAGCCGGTTTGTTGTGCTCGTCCAGTAAGTTCAAATGAAAATATTGCGCCTGTAGCTCAAACTGTGCTCGAACAGCCAACACCTCGCACACTTCTTGGCACAGTATTTTTCAAAAATACCTCGAAATGACGACTTTGAAGCGTAATTGGTCCAAGAATTAAAGCGCCAAGACCAGCCGAAGTGCTTCCACTTCGCTCAATAGGCTGACGGTAGTGGAAGTTCAGTATTATTTTACCGAAGAATCAAATTTTCCCCCTCAGCGACCCTATTCGACCCTATTCCATATTCAGTGGAAACGGTAATATCAACTAATTGCTTCTCAGCTACGATTTGACTCAATTGGAATATTTTAGGTGGAGAGCCGAAAGCTCGAAATGTTTGGTGTACCATTCAGTGGTGATTTATGACTTGAGATGGGGAATTGAAGTCGCCATTGTGGCCTTAGAGGACCAAAGGTGGACAGACGGAACGAACCGATCCAGTAGCGGCAACCAAATTAACTGCTGATCCATCATTACCAACCATGTTGAAGTAGCGAAATTATTGAGAAATAAATTTCTATCCTTTTTTTTAATAATTTTGAAATTAAATTAAATCCGTTACAATTCCAAAATATTGTCGAGTAAATAAAACGAAAAATTATTTACATTTGAATGTATGTATGTAAATATATGTATATTTATTGTATATAATTTATTATATTATTTACATGAAATTGTGTATTTATATTTATGTCTTAAGTACAGTTTAAATTTATACAAAAACAAATAATACAAAAAAAAATTAAATAAAAGTTACTATTGACAAATGCATGCTCACATTGAAACTTAATACATACGAGTATATACTCACATATTGCATATGATTCGTTGTAGATATGTATATAAATATCTATACATAGTATGTTATATATATGTATGTATGTATACAGCGCTTTATAATTAATGTGTAAGTTGCCTGAAATGGCACACTAATTAACAAATAAATATATATGTATATATATATATATATAGATATGTATATATATATATAAGTATATTCGCTTTACTTTTATTAATTTAATTATAAAAATAACTAATTTGTTAACAACTAAATGCATGTGAACTACATGTGTGGTATGCTGATGTGTGTAAGAATTGTGTGTGTGTGTGCGCGCGCGCATGGGTATAAAGTTTGGTTGTACACAAATACCATAAATAAATGGGCAATTTGGAGTTTGAATAAATTTTTTGTAACAGGAAAATAAATAAAACAAATTAAAATAAAATAAAATAAAGTAAAATAAAATAAAAGAGAATAAATTAAAAATAAATAAATAAAGTTAAAAAAAATTAATAAAAAAATTTAAGATTATTAAAAAAAAAAATTATAAAAATAAAAAAATTCAAAAGAAATTTAAAGAAATTTAAAAAAAAAATTATAAAAATAAAAAAAAATAAAAAAAAATAAAAAAAGATTTTCAAAATAAAAAAAATAATTTAAATAAAATGAATTTTTCTTTTTTTTCGTACGTATACTATGAATAAATCGATTTAGCTTAAAAACTGGTTGTTGTTTTTTCTTTCCTTTTTTCGAAAAAGTATTAAGCTCAACCAAGCTGCTCATAATTTGTGGAATATAAAAAAAGAACAAGAGAATCGCTACCAAACTGCACGTGCAAAATGAACTGTTTAAGAGCAAAAAAATTAAACAAAAATAAAAATAAAAATTTGTATATATTTATAAATAGAAAAAAAATTCGTTGTCGCAGATTTTTTTTTTTTTTTTTAATTCTCTCAATGCTGTTGTTGCTTTTTCTGCTACTATTTCACTGTTTAATTTTTGTGCATAAATTAAAACTAATTAAACTTGAACTAAGTTAAAACAAACAAAAAAATGAGCTAAACAAAAGCATTGTATCAAATATATAAATACAGTTATATTTCTTTTCAGATTTTTTTTTTTTAATTTTTTTGTGTTTTCAGCTGGATTTTGCGCCATCTTCGCTCGTCTTTGTGTGTTTTGTAGTGCGTATACTACTGACTGCTTTACATATTTATTAACTATATTTAGAGAGCTTTTTTCCGCACTCTTTGCAACTTAATTTTTAATTTTCACACAACATAACGGTGCATTAACAAGTGTACGGTTACGCATTATATTTCATATTAATAAAAAAATCCGTTTTCGTTGTTCATTGATTTATTTTCTTTTTGCTTTCTTGTGCGTTGTTGTTTCTTGCGTTGTTCGTGTTGTTTATTTTGTAGTTATACATATGTATATGTATATGTATATGTATGTGTGTGTGTATGTTCATATAAAAGTTAATTGATCCACATTAATGGTTATCACCATGGTTGGTCAATAGTGTCCGCCACTGTGTCTATGATGCTCCCGTCTTCCAGCCGATTGATCGCGATATTCGCCATTACGTGAACTGTTCTTGTGATGATGGTGGTGATGACGTTTCTTTTCGCCAGCTAAGCATTTCAAAGAGAAAGAGAGAGAGAAAGAGAGAGAGAAAGAGAGAGAGAGAGTGATAGTGATATAAAGAGAAAGAGAGAGAGAAAGAGAGAGAGAAAGAGAGAGAGAGAGTGATAGTGATAATTTTTGTTTTAAAAGTTTATAACAAATTTGGCATTTACTACTAATTTCTTCTTTACCTTTCAGACACACATCAGAGACAACCATCTCGGAGTTATCACGCATGCCATAGTTCTCACGTCCGACACTGTAAAGAAGTGAGAGAATTATTTTAGGGATTATGAAAGATATGCAATGTTCAATATTAATCGGCCACAAAAGCCGAGTGTTCTGCATTTCGTGCTGCTAATCTCTGAAGACCAGGAAAATAATTTTTCGACTTGCTACTGCCCCTCGGCGCGGGAATGTCAAGCGGAGGGCAAGTGTGTCAGACATGAAATGAAGGCACGGCATAAAAGCGCACCAGCCATTCGGAGGATTCGGTGTTTGCTAGTTGGATCTATTTGAACTTACTGCTTAATCAATTGTAGCGCTTGTTGCAGATGAGCGAAAATAGTCCAAGAACAGCCACCTCTTAAGCCGGGATAGCGCGAAAAGTGCCCATTGATTTTGCTTACAACACCAGCTCTCGATAGCGAGCCACCTCGATACAGAAGGGAGAGGGCGCGACTGTAGCATAATTTTTGGAGTCGCCGTAATTAACATAACGATTCATGCTAAGGCAATCGTCAGCACATTCTGAAGTGAAGCGAAATCCATAAAACATTAAAGCTAGTGACACCAGCGACTTTACTGAAGTACACTAGAGGCGAAAACACTACTCAGGAAAAGAGCGGAGCACCACATCGAAACACCCAAGAAGCAGCAAGCTTGAAGACACACAAATTTCGCCAGCTAAAACATACGAATCCAACGGTAAGCACAGAGGATATAGGACCTCGCTTCCAAAAAGATGAAAACATATCAAAAAAGGCATAGAAGACAACGTGAACGGAAAGCCCCACAATAAAGGAAGGTGCTGCAAGGGACGACTGTGTGTTGAAGATATCTAAGCGTAGCGAACAGTTAGTTGGACTTAAAGGACGTAAGTTCTGAATTTGCTAGAGCCATATACGGTGAAATGCTCAAAAACGTCGTCGGATGTATAACTGTGGAAGACTTTCGAAACTAACTACCCAATCTCTGACAATCATCAGCAACAGACAAACCATACAGGATTAGTCTACAGATGTATTGAAGCCATAAGGTCAGTGCTAGTAGCGTTCTACCTTTGCAGGTAGCAAGTCGGGTGTTGAACTGGTGATGACATCCCTCCTTATACACATCATTCCTTCCCAGGAGTGAGGAGTAAAACGGTAAACCGTTGCCTTTCCATGTAAGCTATTCAATTATGATATCAAAGAGCGGACAAAGTCTAACCATGCGAATGGTTTATGATCTTCTGCATATGGGAAATGACGAATACCGCAATCGATAGAACGATGAACGTTAGGATGAATGAAATCAGTTAAGAGACAGCAGATTTGGAGCCAAAAATTAGTCTTAACTACAGAATTAAGTTCCCACAAAATAAAACCATTACTTACCACAAGAAAAAAAAAACGTCCCGTGCGAATAAAATGCTACTCTGGAAATCTTGTAAATCACAAAACCTCTATAACCTCAAGGGGTGGGTCCAATAGAGAACAATGCTATAATGCCAAATTTAAAAAAAAAAAATAAATAAATTGTCCCGTGCGACATGATCATGTCGAGTTCTTCTTTTAAATCAAATGAGCTATCCCCGTAAACTCACTTAATATACCCCAAAGACTCACCGATCTAGATTCTCTCTGGAACGTTGCATATTATCACGTAAATTGTCACGAGAATGCATTGTGGGTGGATCGAGTGTATCCTTGCGGCGTAAAGCGTGCTGTGTGCTACTCTTCGAAGCAGATTCATGTAGATTTTCCCAAGCTTGACGGTAGTAACTGTAAGGGAATAAAATTTAATATAACGCACTAAATCTAGAGCCTACAAAGAATACGTTTGCTAAGTAAAACATACCGATTTAAACCGTTACGTGAGCCCGATGTAGAACTATCAAACGAGGCCACGGTATTGCAGTCAGGTGAGGCGCGATGACGGTAATGTTGAGTAGTGCGATTTCTGTTAAAAAAAATATGTAAAAGAGAACATAGAAAGAGAGCAAAATTTAGTAAAGAGTTGTACAACTTCAGTGTAAACACATGTACATATATGTTGGTATACAACAATAAAAGTACGATTAATTAATACAGGGTGTGCGGTGGTATATAGTAGATTTCGCAACACCTGAAACCACAGCAGAGTTAGAGACACACACAAATTTCTTTTTTTATTTTTACTTTTTGGAAAAATACATGAAAAGGTACAATGCGTATAATGCAATGTTATAAGTAAGTCAAATAAAAGCTAATTGATGTCATATCCGAAACAATACAAAAGCGGATTAATGACATCTGAAAGGCGGTTCAAATCAGATGATATTTTATAACATTTCCGAATAAATGGAAATCAGTTGATTCATGGCTTTTCTCAAACTATAAAAATCAGCTGACTTATGACATTTCCGAAACAATATGAATCAGCTGTTTGATGGTATTTCCGAAACAGTGAAAATCAGCTGATTAATGGCAGGCGGAGAATGATTCAAATCTACTCCTTAATGATTTTACGAAAAAAAAAACAGCTGATTTCCCAAATGGTGAAAATGATTTATAGTTTTCCCAAACGATAAAAATCAGCTGATTTATGACATTTCCGAAACAATCAAAATCGTCTGTTTGATTATATTTTTAAAACAGTAAAAAATCAATTTATTGATGAAGTCATAAAAATCAGCTAATTTATGACATTTCTGATGTAATAAAAATAAACTGTCCGACGACATTTTCGAAAGAAAAAAACAGCTATCTGATGGCATTCCAAAATGATAAAAATCAGCTGATTTATGACATTCCCGAAATAATCAAAATCAGCTGTCTGATTATATACTTAAACCAAAACTCCGTTGTTCGATGACATTTCCGAAAAAATAAAAATCAGCTGATTTCCCAAAAGGTGAAAATGATTTATGGTTTTTCCCAAACGATAAAACTCAGTTGATTTGTGACATTTCTGATTTAATAAAATTCCGCTGATCGATGACATTTCCGAAATGATAAAAATCAGCTGCTCGATGACATTTCCGAAAAAATAAAAATCAGATTAATTTTTGACATTTCCCAGACGGCAAAAATCAGCTGATTGCTGACATTTTCAAAATGGCAGATTTGCAGTTCTCTCTTATCATTTTTTCAATATGAAAGCAATAAGTGCCTAACGATTCTTACTTATAACACTGCATAACGGTAAAAAATTGTGAATTTGTGCTTTATACTTGTACGAGTATGCGTGCGACGTAGTTGTGTTCAGAAGCCAATTCCTTTTGGTGGGAAGGGCGTGGAGCAGTGTTTGGTGGTGCGATTTCAAACCTTTTTAAGGTCTAGTTTTCACAAAATATACACATATAAAACAAATACACATACACACAGACAAAGAAATACATAAAATAGAGTTAGAATACAAAATTACGTGCTATTAGGTACTGATGAACAAAAAAAAAATATTTAAAAAATTTTATGCATATTTTTTAGCAATTTTTTTTAGTGGCATGGATGAATAGGTGACTGGAGTAAGTGTTGTTGCTATGGTTGGATTATTTACTGATGGTTGGTTGGTTGTTTGATTGCGTGCACAGACAAGACAGCAAGGCGGCAGCATTGCATTTTTCTTAATACGTTTTTTTTTATATATATTTTTTATTACTTTTTTTATAATTTTTTTTTTTTTTTGAAAATATTAACATCTCCCCCACTTGCATGGTTATTTGTTTGTTTCCTTAGTGAATCAGTGACGATATTGTTTTGGTGTACATAGTATACATATGGATGTATGTATAGTTGTAAGTAAATGTTGTTGTTGGTTGCTTACATGTCTGCTGAGTGGTGTGCGCGCCGCTTACGTGTAGATTTAACGGTTGCTTCTTTGCTTCTTTTTCTCATACTCATACTCATGCTGTAAGTATTAATTTGCTATGTGGTAAAAATATGGCCTTTTTTGTTGTACTTAAAAATTCGTTTTCGTTTTTTCTTCTTTATTTAGTTGCTACTATTTTTCTTTTTTTTTCTTATAAAATTGGAGTATTTTATTTCAAGATTCTTTGGCACGTTAAATTCGATTTTTATGCGTTCGATAGCTTAATTAATAATTTATTTACATTTCCTTCAACTCCTCCACTTTCTCTCTCTCTCTCTCTCTCTCTCTCTCTATCTCTCTCTTCATTTTTGTATCATCTGCTTTGCTTCTTCGCCCACGTTTCTTAGGCATATTTCTCACTATCATTGTCATCCGCTGTCGCCGCTTTGACCTTCATTGCATTATTATTATTGTTCTCCTGCGACGCTGCCTCCCTTTCGTGTGTTGGATAATTACTAAAATAGCCCGCACGCGCCGTATAACCCCGTCCATATGTGCTCAGCTCGCGTCGTCCCAACTTCTGATCGTCAAACGGCAGCGCCAATACGCTGTACCACAATGAGGGTGGTCCGGCGTAGCGTGTCGACGAGCTGATGCTGCTGTGCTGATCGTAGAAACGTGTGGGACTTATGTAACCGTTACGTGTAATATGCTGCGGACGATGTATTGATGACGTTGTACTACCAAATTGATTGAAGTTTGAGAAATGTGTGTTGTTGCCGTTGTTGCCGTTGTTGTTGTTGTTGTTGTTTTTGTTGAAGTTCTTGGCTGCCGGCATTGGTGGTGGAGGGAAAGGTGGGCGTAACCTGTGGACATGGTTGACACAATAACATTTTGCATTGTGCCGCCTGCTGTTCGAGGTGCTAAATGAATGACAATAATATACAACAACAACAAGACGAGATTACAAATGCATGAATGCCAAATGTTTTTGATTTTGATTTTGATTTCAGTTTTGATTTCGGTTTCATATACGATTTGCCAATAGTGAAACACATGAAACGGTGAGTGCAAGTTTTTGAGTTGGATTTTCATGTTTTTTGGGATTTTTTTTTTTTTTTAATTTTGATTAAAATTAGTAACAACGTGAGATGGAGAACACAAAATCTCGTAAAAAAGTATGAGGAATCGATCAATTGATGAGGTTGCTGAGAAGGTTCGATCGGTTATGTGTAACCGCTGTGGCCGAGCTCCTCTTTTCAATTTTGGTATGCGTTTTTATATTTTTCGGCTCCGCCCGGGCGATGAATTTTTATAAGGCAGCTTTTATTTGATACCAGAAATAGACTCGGTGGGCTTGACATCTCCTGCTGGAGGAGCGACGCAATTAGAAAAATTAATTTCTTAAAATTTTGGAAGCTGTTCAAATCCTGACGGTCAGAAGAGCAGTTCGCAATGCTAACCACTCGACTATTGCGGCTGGTATGGGTTTGGCGCACCGAGGCCCAACTGGGTGGAGCTAACACAATAAGTTCTCAGGAGTAATTTTGTGCAGTAAGCTGTTGTGACAGCTCAGTGTTGAGAAGAGGTTAAAAACGAGGCTAGTGCTCTTTACGTTGGGTGGGTACGTTGAGTCTATCGGTTGGTTTCATACTCATTAGAGTTGTACAGCAGCCATCAGACTAATCTGACTCTATGGCGCTTTTATGCGATGGAGAGCAGTCTCAGCAAAATTCTATAAAGAAAGCATTGAAGTGACAGTACCCCAACGTCCGAGCTCGAAAGTCGACTCATGCTATTACCAAACTTCTAAGCGGTGTAGACCATTACAGCGAAATCCACTGGTGAGAGGCTCGATAAGCAATAGAAGGGGAAATAAAATTGATCTTTTGCGCGAAAGAAGATTTCAGAACACATTAAAAGAGAATGAATGACACAGCGATGTGTGGATCGTCAGCGAAGCTACGAAGAATATGAATAGAAATGGCTGAAAGAGTGGCTGATGGAATTTAATGCGCTCGGTTTGATCTCAGGCTTTCGAAATACTGACAAATTTATTTGCAGTTCCTGAGCTAGCTAACAGGAACCCACATGAGAAGCAGGAAAATGTACGTTGAGAACTAGGCAGCAATCAAAGCAATAATTTCACATTGTACGAGTACGAGAGAAAATGTCCTTAAAAGTAGGGAGGAAATTGATAAAATAGCTCAACGGAACAAGCAGCATATCTACTGGTTCCCGACCAGAAGACAGTTAAGAAGCTGTTGAAAATGTCATCCATTTGATGACGGAAGTAGTACACTCTTGATATCAAATACGCTGTACATTGAAATATTCGAAGGAACTGGGTGGCGATGCAATGCCTCAAAGGGTTCTGCCAAGATCTCGTGCAGTGACATCGAAGGAAGGCGCGCCCACTTCTGATTTACGCCGTCTTGAGAAGAGATTGAGACAGTTGTAGCTCTAATAAAAGGACACCCGCGAACACTTTGAGATTACTAGCAAAAGAGATAGGTAGAGAGGAATGGCCTGGAATGGCCTCTCACGTTAGAATACCTTCGCTGTTTCCGGATTTATGCAGAACTCGTCTTGAGCATTTAACTCAAATAAATGGTAGGAATTGGTGACTTAAAGTAGTTACTTAAGATTGGACCTCTGCAGTCCTGCCAGTACAAGTCAATTCCAAGCATAAATTCATAAAACGACCGGTAACTGGTGATAAGTTTGATATAGAAACCACACAACAAGCTTCTGCGTGTTGCCTGAGTGGGAATCGAAAAATCACTGTTGATCAAAAGTCAAGGTAGGTAATGTCTGCTATTTTCCCTTGATTATCGTCTGCTATTCCTTGAGTATCCGAGAACTCGTCGGAAGATCAGATGCAAAATAGGGTTTGGTATCTGATCGTTATCAGGGTCAAGAAAGGTAAATTGCATCGATTTATTAAGAGAAAACTAATAGGTTCTGCACCACGATAATATAACCTCTTACAAGACTATCAGTGTGAGCAAATTTCTGACCAAAAGCCAACAAATATCATAGAACAACCGGCGATTACACCGAATAAGACTGCTGCGGACTTTTTTCTAATACCAAACTTTAAATTATCGCTTCGAGGCTACCGGTTTAAGTCTTTAAGTCTAAAGTTCATAAAATGAGTTTGAGAAATGTTATGCTGAGAATTATTTCTTGGCATGTCCAGCTTCACACACACACACGCTTCAACAGCGCATTAAAGCTAATTAAATTCACCACGAAAATGGTGAAAGTCTGGCAACCCAAAAGATTTTTCGTTCGTCGTGAAGCAACTCGTCGGGCACTACACAAAAACTAGTAGATAAATGGAGCTGTTAGTGATGTGAAGAATAAAACACGTGCACGTCGCTCAATAAAAACTGAGAACATTGCTGCCGTGGCCCAAAGTGTTGACGAAAATTCGTTGCATTCTGCGTCGTTCTTTGGAATTGGGCATTCCACAAACATCATTACATAGCATTTCGCATGAAAAATTAGGGTCTTTAGACTTATAAAGTTCTGTTATTATAAGAACTCATCATTATAAGAGCTATCTGAACTCCTGAAATGCATGAAAATGATGCGGAATTCCATCGAAAAATGGTCTTGAGTGATAAGACTCGGAGAACTCAAGATTTATCGTAGAGAAGAATCACGATTCTCATCGTGTAATTGTTTGGTGCGGTTTATGGGCTGGCGGGGTCATTGATTCTTATTTCTCTAAAATGAAAAGATTGTGCTGTCGAGTGAACACTAATGTTTTTTATGACCGGAATTGGATGGTATTGTCTGGACAACGTTTACTCTCAACAAGACGGTAGACGCTACATTCTATACAAGCAAATAAACCATCGATTTTTTAAAGAAAAGGTTCCGAACCGGGTTTTCTCACAAAGAGGCCAACGAGATCTTGTGATTTAACAAATTACAACTCCTTTCCTGTGGACCACGTGAAGTATAAGGTCTACGCTTAAAGGTTAAAGTCGACTCAAGACACCTAAGATGGAATTCGCGAAGCTGTTGAGGGCAGCCTCAGCAGCCTCTTTGCGATATGTGATGGAAAATTTCATAAAAACGATACGTTTACTGATTTCAAAATGCATAAGAATGAAGTTCAGGTTATATAATTTTGTTGTGTTTGCGTCTTGATGTTTTTTCCAACAAATGGAGGGAGCTTCAGTTTATACTAAGCCGCCTCCGTACGGCTGATGGTTTTTTTATTATCAGCTTTATTTCATATCGGAAATACACTCTGAGGGGTTGACATGCTGTTCAGGTTAGGAACGGTAAAAAGTCTCTCTCTTTAACTGAATACATTAGTAAGGATGAAAAGCTTCAGAACTGACGGCCCACTTAAACTTCATGAGCTATCTTTAAGCGAAGCCTAGTAGTACAAAATTCCCTTTAGAGGCGGTTAGGTTGAAAATAATAGAGATCACATAAAATGGAAGAGGGATTTGAGTTAAGAAAAGGTGTTTTTTACACGCAGATTTCAGAGTCGAAAAACAAAAGAACAAATGTTAATGTGCAAATAGAACTCTGTAAAGGACTGTATAAAACACTGTTATATGTAAATACCTATTTTAGTAACCACTATTAATATTTACAGAAGCAGACAGTTGGATTTCCAAGAGATTTTCATAAAAATAAATAAATTATCTCTCGATAAATCTCCAGCGAATACCGCATCTCTTCAACACGTCTTGCTTAAAATAAGGAAGCTCATTGACGTCAACGCACTCACCTTCTCACCAAAATGATGATTGTCGTAATGACCGCAGCGAGGAAAACGAAACCGCCAAACGCGCCCAAAGCAACAATTGCGCCCAGATTGAGTTTAGCCTCCTTCGTCTCCTTGCGATCAGCATTGTCCACGGCGAATGGTACATTGACATTTGGTTGCTGATTGTGTCGTATATTGACGCTATCGGCAATTTCATTATCCTGCGGATGTGCGTTGAGTATAATATTCTGTGTGCTGCGTGTGGTAGACTCCACAGGCGTATATGGACGTGTACGTGGCGTTGTCGTGCTGGTTGTAGACGTCGTTGTTGTGGGCACATAATAGGCTGGTGTAGTACTCGTGCGCTTTGGTATGGAAACAGGACGAAGTGTGCGTCGCGGTGGGAATTCCTCACGTACCGTGCCGGGTACAACGTAGGTGACCTCCTCATCGGAATCTGTGAGTGAGTAAATAAATTAAACTTAAGCGAAAATGTATACAAAAAAAGTCACTCCTCTCACCGCCGCCAAGATTGTCCAATGGCTGTTGTTGTGTTGTGCTTGACGCCTGTGTCGTACTGTAGGTTGGCTTGTACGATGGTTGTTGTCTGGAAGTTGAGGTAGTGCGTGGTCTGTACGATGTAGTAGATGGCACTGCTGGTGACGGTGTCGGCGGTTGAGTTGATGCGAATGTTGGTGGCAGCGTAGGTGCTGGTGTCGACGGTTCAAGACGTATACAACGTGGCAGCGCACTGCTCCACTGTCCAGTAGCCAAGCAGGTAAGCACTTGTGGGCCTTCGAGTCGATAGCCGGGTGGACAACTGATCTCGGCTTTTGAACCATAATAAGTACCATTAGCTGCGGATATAATGGTGTTGTAGTAATTTCCAGGCAAGGTGTCACACTCCACGACTGCAAGGGGAAAAAAGTAAAGAAATATTATGTGGAGCCAAAAGTATAAAGGTGTGGTGTAAGACAAGTTATTTATCAAAACGGTAAGCACATAATTTCCCATAACTTACTCTCACAACGCGGCGGTGGACCATTCCAACGTTCATCAAAGTCACAGGTGAGTACAGCACGTCCAATCATTTCATAGCCCTTAGCGCAAGAGTACTTCACCACGCTGAGGTAGCCAACGGTGCCATTAATAAGATCGTATACGCCATGTGGGATGGAGGCAGGCAAGCCACACTCGATATCTAAAATAAAATGAATTTAATACACCTAGTAGAGGGTGAATACTTTAAAGGCTGATTGACTTACATTTACAAACCGGTGGGAACTCGTTATAGAAGCCCGTCTCCAAGCAAGTACGTGTTGCCGGTCCCACAAGCAAATGATTAGCGTCACAAGAATAATTAATTTGTGCGCCAACCTCAAAACCATTCAGCGCAACCATAGTTGAGTTCGGTGGCTGTTCCGGCCGACCGCAAGTCTTTGGCTGATGTTGACAAATGAAATTCAACAGCGTATTACAGTTCGTATCACTCCAAAGCCAACCTTTCGAGCCATCGAAACGTGCACAATCTTCATCGCCACCTGGGTGATTCCAGAAAGAGACCGCAACCTCCTCACCATTCACCCATTTCCATGTACTGCGATCTGTACCATCACGCACGGCACCCATCCAATATTGTGAACTTATATCGGTACGATGACGACGCCACAACTCCCAACTGATGAAACCTTGTAAGGCCGGATTACTCTCGCTGATGAGTGTACCACCACGTGAGCGACAGAAGGAGAGCGAATCGAGGAAATTCAATGGTTGACGATTGTAGAATATGTAACATTTGCCATTGTAGGAAGCCAACGCGCCGGGTGGCTGATCGCGGAATGTGGGGCAACGTTCGATGGGCAATGCCTGGTCGGTGTAGACGAAAGCCTCACAAATCGACAACTGTTCGGGTGTATTTGTCTCCAAGTGCACTGAGACGAATGCGCCGGGCATGGGTGGATTGCATGGCAGGAATAGCGGTTGGCCCTCTTCGAGTAGACCGGTGAAGCGGTTGCAAATGGGATTAGTGCCCAGATCGGGTCGGTTATTACCGACGCGTACCACAATTGTAGCGGGTTTGTTGCCTGCAAGGGGGACGGTGAGGAAAATAATATCAATAAATGATTTAAATAAAAGCAAAATTTTTCGTTATAGTTCAATGACCCAACGAGTGTCTGGGGTGAACTTAGTGGGTTCAACTAAATTCCAACTGCCAACGTTTGTTTTGGTGCAACTTGCTTAAGCAACTATATTAACAAAAGAAATACTACAATTACAACTACAATACAATAGTAAGGTAAATAGGTATCAGCTATACAACCGCAGTTACATTGCTTAGTGAAAGTAATCATAAATCGTATGGAGCAACCACAGACACCGGCAGTTGCGGCTACAGTATACGCGCGTAACATTTACATACATATAAACATGCATATATGAGCATGAGATGCAACATACGCATATACATATGTACGAGTAAATATATGCATCTTTATGACTCACAAACCAACATGCCAAAAGCCGAATTGAAAGCCAACAGTCGGTGCAGACGACAATCGTGCAGACGACAGCCAGCAGCTGCTGTGCGCTGAAAGAAAATCGTGTTTACTGCTAGGAAAACAATAAGAAAGGTTTGACGCAAAGACCAACAACAATTCCATTCAGTCGGAATGAAGTTTGGTGTCGGAGCATCGAAGGTAAACAAAAATCACATAACTCCATTGACTGGGCTGGTTGGCTGACTGGATGGGCTGGCTTGTGAAGAGAAAGCTGTGCTTTGCATGCCTTCGTATCATCGTCTGATAACACTTCAAAATATGTCAAAGGGAAGTGTTTGTCCAACGAAATACTCCAGTATATTCGCTCGAGTTGGAAAAATTCTCTTTTGTCATTTTCGTAGTATTAATTGTAGTTATTAAGTAGTTCTTCTACAGCAATTTTCAATTAAACTTACCACAACATGATTTGCCGAAATCCAAACGCACCAATTGCACCATATATGGTTCGAGCAAATTCACATACCACCAGGGTGAACGTTCGGCTTTGGTGAGTGAACATGTTTCCGGCGTGAAGAATGCAGATGTGGAGCCGTCAATGGCTTTTTGCGGCGCTCCAGAGCCTTCGGTGGAAATTTGCATTGGCGCTTTGCCCGCAGCGACATTGAGTACTGGAAAGGAAGAGGAAGAAAAGTTTGATTAAAAATAAGAAAGTGCTTTGAAAAATATTTGTTCCTAAAATTGTGCAAGCGAAAGATGGATTAATTTCACGCGGCTTTAAAATGCCATTTTATTTTAATGAATTTAATTATATTCAATAGTTTGACATATTTATTAATAAATATCCTATTTCATGCAAACCTTTTATTTTATTTTATTTTATAATATATAATATTTTATTTAAATTTCTTTTCGATGCCCAGGTATTAAAATTGGTGTTATTTTATTCTCCAAAACTTTTCCTAATTAAATTAAATTCAATTTTGTTTTAGTTAAATTGATTGTAATTAATTTAATTTTGTTCAATTTAAAATTATAACTTCCACAAATTATAATATTATTTCCTTCTCTTTAATTTTTCTTATTTTAGTTTTATTTATTTAGTTAATATTTTTTACTTTAATTTAGTTTATATTGCCTTAACTTATTTTAATTAATTTGTTTTGCTTATTTTTTTAATCATAATATTTTTTAATTTATTTTGATCATATTTTATTTTATTATATTTTATTATTTAAATTAATTAAAAAGAAATGTAATAAAAAGGTTAAATTTTTTTTAATAATTTTATTTGCATTGTTTTACTTTATATTAATTTATTCTAATCTGTTTTAAATTATTTTGTCTTTTTAACTTGTATTATTTTGTTTTATTTAAATTCTATTTATTCTCACTTTATTCTTATTTAATTAATAGTATATTGTTTTATTTTTTCTATTTTAATTTAATTTATTTTATTTTATTTTAATTTAATTAATTTTATTTTTTTTTATTTTAATTTAATTAATTTTTTTTATTTCATTATAAGTTTTAACAGGCTTTACTTTATAATTTTATTTTTTATTTAATTTTAATCTTTTGTTTAATTTTATATGTTTTTCATTATATTTTTTCATTTTTATTTCATTTTCTTTTCTTATTTTATTTTATTTGTTTTTTATTTTATTTTTTTTTTATATTAATTTGTTTTAATTTCAGTCTTATTTTGTTTGACTTTATTTTATTAAATTTTTTTAATTTTAAGTTTTAACTCTTGATTTTTTTTAACTCGTCTCATTATTTTATTATTTTGTTTTGTTTAATTTTTTATTTTTTTTATTGATTTTCTTTTTATTTCAATTAATTAATTTTATATTGTTTAATTTTTTTTCTATTTCATTTTATTTTATTTTAAAATATATACGAGTGTTTTGATTAATTTTAATTTATTAATTTTATTTTATTTAGACTTTATTCAATTTATTATATATTTAACCATGTATTAATTTATAAATTTATTTTTTAATTAAGTTAACGTTATATTTATATTACATTTTTCTTTTGTTTTTCATTGTATTTTTTTATTCTTCTTATTTTCTTGTTTTCTTTTATTTGTTCTTTGTTTGAGTTTTTTTTTATTTCCGGTTTCACTTTATTTGATTTTATTTTATAATATTTTTTAGTATTTATTTTTTTTATCTCCAATTTTTTATTTTGTTTCTTGTTTTTGTTTTATTTTAATTTATTGAAGATTTATTTAATTTTTTTTAAAATAAATTATATTATATATTTTTATTTTTTTCTTAATATATTGTAATTTTATTCGATTTAATTTTATATTTTTATTTTATTTCATTTGTTATTTGTTTTTCATTGTATTTTTGTATTATTTATTTTTCATATTTTAGCTTATTTGATCTTTACTTTAATTTTTTTTATTTTAGTTTAACTTTATTTGATTTTATTTTATACTTTTTTTATTTCATTCTTTCTTTAACTTATTTTTTTGTGATTTTTATTGTTTTCTTGTTGTGGTTTATTTTTTTTTAATAAATTTTTATTTTATTTAATTTAATGTAATTTTATTTAATTTGATTTTCAATTATTTTGTTTTATCTTATTTTTTTTATTAATTTTTTAATTCTTCATTTTATTTATTTCTTTTTTTTTAATTTTACTTATTTTCTTGTTAAGGTAGTTCATTTTATTTAATTTTTTTATTTCATTTTATTTTAATACAATTTTTTTTTAATTATATTTAGTTTCATTATGTTTTTTATATTTGACCTGATTTTATTTTAATTTATTTAATTTTTTGTTTTATTGTACTTTGTTTTTTTTTTTTATTTCAATTTGTTATGATTTTTTTGATTTTTTTAATTTTAGTTTGATTTTTTTTTTAGTTTGATTTTTTTTTTTTTTAGTTTCCTTTGAATAAATTCGATTAAAGTTTTTTATGTATTATAATTTTTTCGTTTTTTTTAATATCAATAAGCTGAACGCATCCACAAACAGCAGTAGAAAATTCTCGCGCTTGCGCAAAGCGCTAACCTCTTGAGAGTCGTTGATGGTTATTTTCTTGTGTTTTTTCGCCGACGATGTCAAGGTTGTTGGCACATAAATACATATGTGTACACAAAGATAAATACCACCATACAAAGGTGAATAAATTACACATATGAGTTTTTAATAAAACATTGAATCTACAACTTGTTGCTCGCTGTCAACGCTTTTGTCACACAGTTAATCATAATTGCCATTGTTTACAAATTCACATAATGCTTTACAAGAATATTTAAATTTTCATATTTTTTTCTCTTCAAATTATGGCGGTATTTTCATTGCCATACCACCGATGGTATTTTCATTTTCAATACAACTTTTTTTGCTTATAAAATTATCTCTGCATGAAAATTGCTAATTTCGTTTTATTTATTTTTTACCAACAAACAACAAAGCTTTTGCCTTAACGCTTTCGCTTTTAAAAAGTGCTTTTGACCCACAGTCGAGCAGTTGGGTGTATATGAGCGATGAATGAGATATTTTTGAGTGTTTTAATAGGTAAATATATAAGCGTAAGAATTTGTTTTTTTTTTGTTTTTACAAAACTACATATACAATTAAACATATTTCCGTAGATGTAAGTGGAGTGTAGTTTTGGTAATTGCCATTTGTTGTTGCATTACTACATAATCATATTAGTTACATTTGTATAAAATTTTTTCATTATTACGGCTTTTGACCTTGTATTTCGCCATGCATTTTTGAGTTTTGGATTTTGAGTATTTAATTTGCGTTTCCAAGAGCTATTTTGTTAAATAAATGCGTGAGATTTGTTAAAAAGTTAAATTTTATAATTAAGTTATGTATTTGCTTAATTTAAATGACGAATTTCGAAAAATGCTTGGCTGAGCTAACTAATAGTTCATAAATGCATGTCTTTTGGGCTCAAGCAGCGAGAAAATGTGTCAGGGTCTTGTCACTTCTTGACTTCTGAACTTGACGTGCGTGTATGACGTGATTTTCTCTTAATTTTATTGTAGTTAGTGGAAAACTTACAAAAAAAACTAAGAAAATTAAATAATCATCTCACTAAGCTCATTTACATAAAAAAAATACGATTGAGTATGTCGCAGTTTTAAGAAAAAAAAGAGGCTGAATAATTCATATTCTATTATTACTAGCAAATTCCAAATTACCAAATTTTATGAACAAAGCATGTGACTGTAAGAGAACTTCGAAAAAGTCTAAATTTTTGTAAGATGATTTTTTGCTGTTTTAATTTTTTAATTAATAACAAACTACGAATTTTTTTGTACTTTTCGTTTTAATTAATTAAATATTATTAATCTCTTTATATTGTTAACAAGTTTCTAGAAATATTTTTTTAAAAACCAACCAAAATGCTTTGCAAAGAAGAAAAAGCTTCTTATGAGGACCACAAATTTTACTATAAACAAATATTACTATAAATTAAAAAAAAAATATCCTCACTAATTTTTATAGAAAAGTTGAGAACAAAAATGGTCTTAATTTTTTTTAGATTTACAAATTTTTAATTAACTTCATATTATTTTACTTTCATTAATTTAAATTTTTTGGGTTTATTTTATTTTATTTGATATTATTTGATTTTGTTATTTCATTTTTAATTTTCTATTTATTTTATTTTATGGTAAAATATTTTATTCTATTTTGTTTTTAAAAGTTTTTAAAAAGTGTTTTTGTTTCATATTTTTTTTTTATTTTACTTAATTTCTTCCATTTTTTTTCCTTTTTGTTTGACTTTATTTAATTTTTAATTTTTTTTTTTAACTTTTTTAGTTTAGCTTAGTTTGTAATAATATATTTTCCTTAATATAATTTTTTTTTTGTTTAATATATATGTTTAAGTTATTAATTTTATTTTAATTTCTTTTATTTTAATTTAATTTTATATATCTTTAATTTATTTTTTTTTAATTTTTTTTTTTCAATTTAAGTTTATTTAATTTTTTTTATTTTATTTTAGTTTGTTTTAACTATTTAATTTTGTTTAAATTTATATTTTTAATTTTATTTCATTTTGTTTTATCTCATTTTATTTTATTTTATTTTGTTTTTATTTTATTTTCTTTATTTTATTTTATTTCATTTCATTTTATTTTATTCTATTTTATTTTATTTTATATCATTTTATTTGGTTTTATTTTATTTTAATTATTTAATTATATTTTGTTTTTATTTATTTTATTTCATTTCATTTATATTTTATTTTCTTTATTTTATTTAATTTCATTTTATTTTATTCTATTTTATTTTATTTTGTATCATTTTATTTGATTTTATTTTATTTTAATTGTTTAATTTTATTTTGTTTTTATTTATTTTATTTTTTTTCATTTAAATTTATTTTTTTATTTCATTTAACTTCCTTTTTTGTATTTTATTTTATTTTAATTTATTTGTTTTATTTTATTTCACTTCATTTTATATTATTTTTTAAATTCATTATAGTTTTTTTTATCTATTATATTGTAATCTAGTTTTATTTTAGTTTGGTTTACTATATATATTACTCTATGTTATTAAATACAATTTTCGGTCACAAATATGCCAATTTCTACAGCAAGTTTGTTGCTTAAGTCTTTTATGCATTCAATCATTCGTTCACCACATATCAGTCAATCAAACTTAACGCGCTGACAATCAT